TTTTTGCCACTGCTGACACTGAGGCTCTCGCCCACGTGAAGTCGGAGCTGCAGAAGAGACACACGTGCACAGACCTGGGTGAGCTGCGCAACTACCTTGGCTTGCAGATCACCCGGGACAGAGCACGCCGCACCATCACCCTGACTCAGTCACACATGGTGCAGTAGGTCCTTCAGCGCTTCGGCTTCACCTGGTCTTCAGCACAGGCCACTCCTCTGGCTACAGGTCACTCGCTCTCAGCTCCACCTTCGGACGAGTCCGTAGAGCCGAGTGGTCCTTACCCAGAGCTAGTCGGCTGCCTCATGTACCTGATGACTTGCACTCGACCTGACCTCGCGTACCCTCTTGGTCTTCTGGCTCGCTACGTGGCTCCTGGTCAGCACCGACCTGAGCACATGGCTGCTGCTAAGAGGGTACTGCGCTACTTGTGCAGCACATCAGGCATGGGGCTAGTGCTTGGAGGGACGAGCCCAGTTGTCCTCACTGGGCACTCAGACGCTTCTTGGGTTGACGACCTGGCTACTCAGCGGTCGTCACAGGGTTACACCTTCAGCCTTGGCTCTGGTTCAGTTTCGTGGCGTTCTACACGCTCGTCTTCAGTTCTCAGCTCCAGTTGTGAGGCTGAGATCTACGCCACAGCCATGGCTGCACAGGAGTTACGCTGGCTCACCTACCTGCTGACTGACTTGGGAGAGCAGCCTCGTTCTCCTCCAGTGCTGTACGTCGACAACAAGGCCGCCATTGCCTTGTGTGAGGAGCACAGACTGGAGCACAGAACGAAGCACATCGCTCTGCGTTACTTCCTGGCTCGAGAGTTGCAGCAGCGAGGTCAGCTTCGTCTTCGTCACGTGGCCACTCGGGCCAACATTGCTGATATATTCACCAAGGCCCTTCCGGCTGGTGATCATCAGCGCTTTTGTACCCTGTTAGGCCTTGTGCCTACGTTTCCACACTTGCTGTAGTCTTTGCTTATACGGTGATCTATATATACATACACGCATGCCTGCTCCTGCTAGGTAGTCATCACTGTACTGTTATTGCTGCATATATATATACCTCTGCATGTGAATTGGCCTTGTGGCCCTTTGCTTGTGCTCAGAGTGTGTTGTGACGTTGTGATCCACCCTGAGCTTTGCTTCTCTTGACTGGTCGTGTGACCCCTTGTTCTCCCTCACTTTGCCTATGGGGGTGTGTCAAACATATGCTGCATATTGTCTAGGCTGTAGTGGGGTAGCTTATATGGGGTACAACCCAATTTAGGGTTTACTACTTGTACTCCTGCATGCTACTAGTTCATTCATTCCTGCTGCTAGATTCTAATAGTGGCGGCACTGGTAGGAGGGCTGTTGCTTGTGTGCGAACGTCCCGACCAGGCGCTATGGCGGAGAGGGATGTTCACACGCAGACAGACGAGAGGTCTAGTTTTGAGGCGCCTCAAAACTAGGCAGCACTGGCAGGAGGGCTGTTGCTTGTGTGACACCAGGTGTTATGGTGGAGAGGGACGTTCACACGCAGATCGACGAGAGGGTGGATGGTGGAGTGAAGGTGGGTGGGGGTGGTAAGGTGAAGGTGAAGTAGGGGAGAGTGGCAGGTAGCAGCGGCTGCAGATTCCACTGCACAAATGGGTTCAGAGCGGTGCAGTTGGTGTACGGCTCTCCTGAGGGAGAAGGATGGAGACAGGAGGGCAGGAAGCGGGCAAGAGTAGAGTGGAGATGAGAGGGGCAAGGGGAGCGAGCAAGTAAAGAAAATTGAAGAGTCAAGAAGAGCACTCAAAAATAGAGCACAGAATCAGAGAAGAGGGTACGATAATCAAGCATGGAAAAAGATGGGTGAGAAAGCTACACAGCACAGCAGCGGATCTGAGGAGGAGAGGAGCCGGCTGGGCAGCGAGCAGCAGCGAGTGGTGAGGGACCCACAAGCGCCTCAACATGCTCGCAAGCAGCACATTCAGTTGAAGGGCGCTGCCCTCCTCCTCGCCCGCTGCCTGCATGACCCGTGGCTCACTTTTGAGGCGCCTCAAAAGTCGCTCAGAAGTTGTTTTGAAGCGCCTCAAAGGGCGCTGCCCCCCTCCTCACCCGCTGCCTGCATGACCCGTAAATCACTTTTGGGGCGCCTCAAAGGGCGCTGCCCCCCTCCTCGCCCGCTGCCTGCATAACCCGTGGCCCACTTTTGGGGCGCCTCAAAAAGTTGCTCAAAAATCGTTTTGAAGCGCCTCAAGGGCGCTGCATCACTGCCTGCATCACCGCCTCAAAGGCTCCTCCTAGCCCACCGCTTGCATCACCCGTGGCTCACTCTGAGTGAGTCACCCGCACCTCCACACACTCCCATGTAGAGAGGGTGTTTTTGGGACGTCTCACAAACACCCTCCTTGCCCACTGCATGCAGTTGCATGGCCCGTGGCTCACTCTGAGTGAGTCACCCGCACCTCCACACACTCCCATGCCGTCGAGCCATCGGAAGATGCAATACAGGCGCGCATGGGTGGAGTGGGGATGGATGAGCGTGCATGTGGACACATGGTGATGGCGCACAAACTTTTGCGCGTGTGTGCATGGATGGAGCTAAGCGCACAAACATGTGCGCATGTTCGCATGTGTGCATGTGCCCATGTGTGCATGGGTGGAGCTAAGCGCACAAACATGTGCGCATGTGTAAAAGCATTGGACAGGGAGGGAGGGGACAGCGGGACAGGGAAGTGATTGGGGATGGAAGGCCATCACATCACATGCCTTCCCTCCCCCCACTCCCCCCCTCCCCCCACCTCCCCCCCTCTCATCACCTCCCGTTCCCCCTCCCCCATGACCTCCCGTCCCCCTCTTTCATGTCCACCCTTCCCCTCATTCCATCTCATCCCTTCCCCCACGCTATCCATTCCCCCCATGCCATCTCCTCCCTTCCCCCACGCTATCCATTCCCCCCATGCCATCTCCTCCCTTCCCCCACGCTATCCATTCCCCCCATGCCATCTCCTCCCTTCCCCCACGCTATCCATTCCCCCCATGCCATCTCCTCCCTTCCCCCACGCTATCCATTCCCCCCATGCCATCTCCTCCCTTCCCCCACGCTATCCATTCCCCCCATGCCATCTCCTCCCTTCCCCCACGCTATCCATTCCCCCCATGCCATCTCCTCCCTTCCCCCACGCTATCCATTCCCCCCAAGCCATCTCCTCCCTTCCCCCACGCTATCCATTCCCCCCATGCCATCTCCTCCCTTCCCCCACGCTATCCATTCCCCCCATGCCATCTCCTCCCTTCCCCCACGCTATCCATTCCCCCCATGCCATCTCCTCCCTTCCCCCACGCTATCCATTCCCCCCATGCCATCTCCTCCCTTCCCCCACGCCCGTACACCATTTCATACACGTGCCGGCGACTTCAGTTTCTGCCTCGCCATCCCCGCAGCTGTAAAACCCTATTTCCCCATGCCATGGTCGACATTGTGCTCCCCCCACTCTTCCCCCCACATGTGCACTTACCGCTCATTTCCCAGCGCCGGTCGACTCGTTTTACACCAACCTTTCCCCCTTCATGACACCTGTTTTTACGCCGGCACCGCACCTCTGAAATTAATTCCCGATTCAATTATGGTTAAAGACAGGTGCCTCCACTCGTCAGCCATGTGTCGAGTCAATCCAGTTGACTACGCCCCTATCCTAAGCGTGCTTCGTCGTCAGGCTCGTCGCAGCAATGCGGTCACGCCGTGATGCAGCTAAGAAGGTGAAACAGGGAGAAGAATAACGGCGCAGTCAAGTTTGCTAAATTTCTAACGCTCGCAAGTGACGGCTATAATCTAATCACGGGCATAGGCAAGAGCGAGCGCTATTGCTGCTCGGTTCTGTCCCGGTTTTTCTTTTCTCTTTTCACGCCTTTGGATAATAATTTGCTTACTATGCAGTGGTAATGTTCCTACTACCAGTACGTGTAAGGAAGTTAAAGTTAAAGTTGTTTTTCTGGTCGTAACTAGTTTTAAAGGGTATCCACTCCTATATGAGCACGTGCTAACCCTTATTTGGGATTGGCAGAACACGCCTGCACGGGGGTGGGTTCGATCCCAGGACCTCATCTATCGGAAGTGCCTCTTTCTACTGACTAGGCCACTTCGGGATACCAGGTATGGCGGGGCTGCAAATGTTGGCGCTTGATTTCTCCCTGTCACTTTTCCCCAGTGCACGACCCGTCGTGTTCCGCTCGTCGGTTTGGTCGCCAAACCTGCCCTACAAGGTGCGAACGTGATCCAAACCTGCCCCTGAGGTGTGGTTTTGGCTTCAGTACTCTGTAACTTCGCCCATACATTTCCCTGCTCGCCAAAAATTCGTCACTCGTGAACCAATCATGGTCCTAGTTTCCCAACCAAGATCGAGAGGGAAATGAGTGCAAAGTGGGTATTTTCGACCCCGCTGGTCGGACATGGCATTCATTCGCCCATTGCCTAAGTGGCACTTAGTTGCGATGTGTGGGTATTATGTGAATGTCCCTCGGGACTGCGTGAGTTTTCAAATAGTTGTGCTAAACACGAGTGACAGAACCTGCAGTTGTGGTGTGAGACCCTGAGCACCTGTCAAGAAGGGAGTGTAGCACGTCGTGAACTGAATGGTGAGGTGGCGCGATCTTCTTGACATGTCAAGAAGAGATTTCAACGAACCGCTGCTTACGTGGCGAACCGTCGAGGTGTCGTGATGGCGAAGGCATGGGCGAAATTTGCGACAGTCTCTTCAGATTTTTGGCTGCAAATCTTCTCGTGTGTAACTTTTCCTCACGACCAGAAATTTGTACAGCGCCCGTGCGAGGGGTGTGTGTCGTGGGTCGTGTCCCGCCCCCCCAGTGCTGCGCCCGACGGCGTGGGGAATAAAATGCTGCGAGGCAATGCTTTTTCTTACGGCGAAACGGGTCCGAGTTTTTTCCCGACCCTTCAGCGGCTTTGCGGCGGCTTTCAGCACCTTACTATAGCACCTCCTCTCAGCCATAGAAACCACCGTATTCGCACATCCGGCAGCAGCCATGTATGTCTATAAGGATCTGATTTCCGGTACGTTGTATACTATAGTGTATCCGGTTCGAGGTTCCTGCACGATGCGAGCTTCTTTTCATCATGATATCACTGATTGTGGCAGAATTCGGCTTTCATTCATGTGTTATTAGGCGACCCGCTGCTATCCAGCCATTATCGCACCAAGGAGATCCAGAATGGTGAGAGCCAGGTGCGATCTTACCAATTTGTACTCCTTCGAAGCACAAGCTCTTTGACAGCACAAAGTCCGACGATTGTGCACGAATTCTGACAATTGTACACAAAGTCCGACGCGCGACGCTAACTATGTATCTTCCTCTGGATGATGATTGCAGTGGGTGGAAAAGGGTGGCGAGGACGAGGCTGTGGAGGGTGAGCCCGAGAAGGTTGTTGATATTGTCAACTCCTTCAAACTACAGGCACGTTGACAATGGATTCCACAAATTTAGACATGTCCAGCCTTTTAGTAGGGTTGCTCTAGTTACGGTCAACGTAATTCTCTTCTTAGATGCCTGACCATCCGTTCCGCATCCGTGTGTGTGTGTGCGTGGGTGCGTTTGTGCGTGAGTGTTTTTTTTAACATTATTTCTATTTTAGTGCAGGAACTACCAGTGTTTGACAAGCGGGCCCTCGGCGATTACCTGAAGACTTACACTCGGAAGCTCGCCGAGCTGATTCCTCATGAGAGGCAACGGGAATTTAGGGCCGGGTCGTCCGGTGCTGCCCAATGGCTCATCTCCAAGATCGATGACCTGAATTTGTAAGTTTTCCGCCACAATTCTCCCTCATTTGTCACGTGTAAAAAGAGAGGGTATTTTTGAGACGTCTCAAAAATGACCTGAATTTGTACGTTTTCCGCCACAATTCTCCCTCATTTTTAGGAAGTTCCTAAACCCCCCCATCCCCCATCCCCCCTAACCTTGTCACCCCGAGCCATGCAGTGATTAGATTGGTCTTGTCTTGTCCACTGATTCCCTGCTCTCTGATGTTTTCTTGTTTTTTCTCATGCAGCTTTGCTGGTGAGAGCATGAACGTAGATGACTTGGACGGCTCAGTCGTTTATGCTTACCACAAGGATGGTGCTGCCAACCTCACCTTTATTTATTTCAAGGATGGTCTGAAGAAGGATGACTACTTCTAGAGATGCGCTTTGTCTGTCCAATATGGCTCCAATTTCAGCAAAGTTACGGTATTAAGTTCCATTCCAATAATCGTCCTCACAGAAAACAGGAGGTCTTGCATCTGCAGTACACTGTAGCCTTATTGCAAAAAGAAAAAAGAGGAAACAAACAAACAAACAAACATATGTAGTAGAGAATTTTCATGAGTCTACACATGTGTTGCACAGGAACCTTATATTGTACTGCCTTGAAAAATGGGTGTCGTGCACTTGAGAACCCAATGAAAAGCCCTTGCAATCCATTCACTGCCAAGGTGGAAACTACGAGCGTGTGAGGTGAGGGATAACTCAATTGATGTGAACTGAAACCACCAGTCCACAACTACCGGTAACAACTCGTGGGGTTGAAATAAAACCTGCCCGCTACGTACCGTATCATGCAAATCCAAAGCTATGAACAATATATGACGAGCTCACGAGAGTGAGCAAACGCGTACGCATCATCTCTATGCTCTCGTATGGGGGTAGCAGAAGCTGGTGAAAGCACGTGTGCGCCGTGGGCAGGCGCGAAAGATCCACATCTGCCCGGTGCAGATGAAACCCCATCGCGAGCCCCTTAAATCCATTCGCGGGCAGATTTGAAACAGCCGTCGCAAAAAACAGCAGCAATTTCCTCTGCTCACCCGAAAGCGACTCCACAACTTCCCAAAACCACAAAACTTGGGGATCTTCCGAACAATACCCGTGGTAGACCGTGTGCGCCTGCCAATCAGACACTGCCACGTGGCGATCCTCCCCGTGGAGAAGCAGATTGAGGTCGTCGCATGAAAGGGGAGCGAGCATGGCAGCGAGACTCACACCTTCAACTGAATCAATGCAACAATCATCATTTTTCTGGATTAACGTCTGCCGCCTACCATCTCCTTCCATCACCTCCTCCCATCTTCCAACACCACTTCCCAGCCATCCCTGACCCCCTACACTTGCGTCCATCCTCCCTTTCCTCTCCATCCCTTCCCTTCCTTCCACCACATCCCCCTCTCCTGGTACCACATCCCACCCTCCTCCACCGCTTCCCAGTATATCCTCCATGCCTCGCCGCAGCGCCTCTCCCTCCTCCTCCACCACCCCACACACCCGGAACTGCACCAGCCGCTGCACAAACTCCGCCACGTCAGCTGCATGGACCACTCGCTCACTGCCACCTGGCACGAGCTCTGCTTCGATTGGCCGGCCCCCCATCGGATCCTCTACAGATGCCACAAAGGTGAGACACAGTGACTCCACCCCTCCTCCGCCTTCTCTTCCTCCTTCTCTTCCTCCTTCATCTTCTCTTTCTCTTCCTCCTTCTCGTCCTCCTCCCTGTGCTGCTTCTTCCCTCTCCCTTTCAGCCATGGCCAGCAAAGACCGACAGCTAGACACCAACTGCGGATCATCATCAGCAGCATCAGCAAGAGAGGGTGTGCGAGCAGCAAGCAGCGCGAACAGCGACTGGGACAGCTTCACTCCCAACGGGACCTGATGTGCCAACGCAAGGGCCAGGATACATCCGGCAAACCGAAGGTACTCCTTAGCTTCGGCAGGGTTGGCTCGGGAGGCAAGCGAGAGGGAGAACCGGCTCGGGTCGTGAGGTACGGGAGAGAAGAGGCCCAGGTTCGGGTCGAAGAGGTGTGCCCGAACGAAGGCGAAGAACTCCCGAAGCACTCCCGGACCTGCGGCCCCGCCCTCGCCTGTGAACCGGACGTCCAGGCCTCCGGTTCGGAGAGCCGTTGGATCGGCAGAGAGGATTTGAATGAAGGCCTGGTGAAGGGCTAATGGGCCCCGTTCGATCTGAATGAACTCCTTATCACGGTAGTCGTCCCGAGGCGGAGGCAAGCACCACTGCATCCAGCTCCTTTTACCCTCCAGACTTAGCAGCTCACTCCCACCATTGCCCCTGTCCCCGCTGCTGCCCCCGCCCCCACTGCTCTCGCTCCCTCCACTGCTCTTCCCACCCCGACTTCTGTCAATGCTCCCTTTGCCTTCTCCATCTGCCCCACAACTCATACTACTAAATCCGGAGAAGGAAAAAGGAAAAATGTGCTCTAGAGGCTGTAACATCCATGCGAGAGGCATGCCTTGGTTCCCATACATCAACACTTTCCCCCATGCCGGTTCCTCACCAGATTCCTGATTGAGGATTTGTGGCTGGGTCTGAGAAGGGATGTGAGTGGAGGATAGGCTAGTTGGAGGTGTGGTGAGGTTGAGGAGGAGAGAGGGGTGGAGCGAGGAGGAGGAGCAGCGGGAGAGAGAGGCTGAGAAGAGCAGGCTGAGAGCGTGGCTGTGGCGACGAGCGAAGGTGAGGAACTGGTGGGGGAAAGAGACGGAGGTAGGAGAAGCACCATCATCATCAGCAGCGGCTATGGTGGCAGCATCAGCAGCAGGCGCAGCATCAGCAGCAGCAGGGCCGTCAGCAGCAGCAGACGCAGCACAACAACCATCACCACCATCACATGCAGCAGCAGCAACAGCAGCAGCAGCAGCAGCAGGAGGAGCACCACCACCATCACCACTATCATCACAAGCAGCAGCAGCAGAAGCACCATCACCATCACCATCACCACCACCATCACCACTATAATCACAACAAGCAGCAGCAGCAGCAAAAGAAGCCAAATACAGTGCTCCAAGCAACATAACAAGCTGGTCAAATTGTGACTTATCCCGAAGAAGCTTCCCAGAAGATTCTGGAGAGAGAGGGGGCTCAAACGGCCAGGGAAGGGGGAACCCGTGCGGTGGTATGCGGTGGAGTGGGATTATGGAGCGGAGGCAGGAGTGGAGAGAGGATAGAAGGGCGGAGCAAGAGGAGAGGAGAGGGGAGAGGTGGATCAAGGAGGAAGGATGAAATCTTAATCTTTGCGATGGAAAGTGGGTTGGGGTGGCTTGTGAGTGTGAGAGCGAGTGTGAGTGTGAGTGGAGGGAGGAGGGGCTGTGAACTGCTCGAGATGTTGCGGATGCTGGGGGAACAACAGAATTCCTGCTCCGTGCTTCTCTGTTGGGTATCGTTCCTCCTGCTGCTGCTGTTGCTGTTGCTGTCGCTAATACAGATGTCGCTACAGCCATATCTGCAGCCCCTGCTTCCATGCTCCGTCTCGCTGGTCTTCGTGCTCTAGGATAATCATGCTGAGAACCAGCCCAATCAGGAACTGCCACATCAGCACCTGCTGAAAGCACCTGACTTTCGTTAGCTTCTGCTTTCATCCGCCTTCCACCACCATATGACGGCACCTGAAAAGCACCTGACGAACCTGAAGGAACCTTAGAGACACCTGAAGCTGAAGGCACCTGAAAACCACCTGAAGGAACCGCACAAGCACCTGAAGGCACCTGACCAGCATCTGCTGTCAACTTCCGTCTCTTCCTCGCTCCATGCTCCTTGGTGAAAGAGGGCACTGCATCTGGCACACCATCCGGCACTGCAAACGCATCCCACTCCTTTCCACCGTTCCGCACAGACCGCACTTTCTGCGCTGACCGTTCACCACCGCACAGCCCTTTCACTCCTATGTGCGGCCCTTTATCTCTCTCTGCCCGCCTTACCGATGGCTGTCCAGGGGAGAATGATGGCACTGCGGACGGAAATAATGGCTGTGCATGCAGCAACGGAGGCTGAGAAGGGAGAGACTGAGAGGGCAGTGGCGTTGCTTTCTTCGCCTGCTGCGGCTCATTCGGAGGCACATTTAAAAGCCCATTCGGGCTCAAGGAGGAAGGTATTGGCTGGCGCAGTAGCAGGAGGAGAAGGACAGGCAGGCAGGCAGAGAGCAGAGCTATGTCAGTTTCAGGAAGCGAGGAGGAAAGAGAGGAAAGAAGGGCACACGCTTCCCTTGTGGACATGAAACCAGGAGCTCTGCCCTTGCTGTTCTCGTGGTCTCCTGCTATCTTTTCTTCCGCGGTTGCTGCCCTTGCTTCCTCCGCTTCTGCTGCCCCTCCTTCCCCTGCCACTGCTCCAGTTCCGTCCCCTGCTAATACTGACTCGCCTGCCCCTGCTGCTGCTCCTGCTGCTGCTGCTGCTGCTCTTTCAGACTGGAAGTGAGAAGAGGCTTGGATGGAAGTTGATGTGCGCTGCAGGCACAGGAGCAGCAGCAGGGAGAGTGACGAGACTGCACTGCTGCTGCTGCTGGTGACAGCGGGAGATGCATCTGGAGCAGAGTGAGCAGCAGAGGAGGAGGTATCCTTGGTGCCAGGAGCAGCAGGAGGAGCCGTGGCAGCGGCAGCTGAATCAGAATCACGAGCATCAAGGATGGCAGCGTGCAGCAGCAGCTGCTGGGAGCACAGCAGGGGGCCGAGCTCAGCAGCCAGGCGAGCAAGGGCGTGCCGGCACGTGTCAAACGCGCAGCCCAGATGCGTCTGAGTCACAAACAGCGGATGGGCTTGAGTGGATTTTTGGGACGTCTCAGAAGCAAGGGCGTGGCGGCACGTGTCAAACGCACACCCCAGATGGGTCTGAGTGGCGAACAGCGGATGCGCTTGCGTGGTCGACAGAGGTTGCGGCTGAATGGAGGTCGATTGAAATTTATAAGGGTTGGTGTTGGGTGCAGTGGAAGATTGAGGGTGGAACGGATGTGCTGTGGCAGTGACAAGGCGGGATGCGATGTGAAGGAGAAGCGGGACGAGAGAGTGCTGGAGCTGGAGGGGGGGAGGGGGGAGGGGAAGGGAGAAAGGAGGAAGGGGAAGGGAGGAATTAGGGAACAGGGGAAGGGAACGAAATTGGATTGCGAGGAGGAGTGAAGGACTGGTAGCAAACCAAGGCGGGATGCGATGTGAAGGAGAAGCGGGACGAGACAAGACAGTGCTGCACCTGAAGGGAGGAGGGGTGGAATGGCAAGGGAGGGAGGGTTGTAGGGTAATGAGGGCCGGGACATGGCATATGGATGGACGGTGGCAGTGACAAGGCGGGATGCGATGTGAAGGAGAAGCGGGACAAGAAAATGCTGGAGCTGGAGGCGGGGAGGGGGAAGGGAGGAAGGGAAGAAGGAAGGGGAGTGAGAGACAGGCATATGGCATATCTAGAGAAGAAAACATTGTTTGCATCAAACTCAAAATCGAAAAGAAGCGAAAAAAACGAAGCTTCGTTGTTTTGCAATAAATGGTGGAAACTGAAGACCGGTGAGAAGAGGAAATTGGATATATGCAGGAGATTAGCAAAGCACAACATAGGCACAAGTTGGGAAGAAGATAAGCGAAATACCCAGGATTTTTAGGCGCAGGCAGCAGGCCTTGTGAAGACTATCAAAAGCGATACACGCAAGCTGAGCAGAAGATACGAAAATACCTTGAATTCTATTCTATGGTGGAAACAAATTTTTAGTCAAATACTAAAAGTTAGGGATTTACCTTGGCTTCTTTGGTGGAGGCAGGAGGCCTCGTGAGCACTCGAATGCATTCAACCCCGCACTCAGCGTCTGCTGCACACCCTGCAGCACCGCACTCCACCTCCGAGCACCCTCCACTACTCCTGCTACTTGTGGCCTGCTCTGCTAAGAGCAGTGCAAGCAGAGCATCAGCAGGAGTTGGATAGGACACAGATGCAGCAGCAGGAGGAGGAGCAGCGGCAGTAGGGGTGTCAGGAGCAGGGACAGGCGCAGCAGCATTGGCGGAAGCAACAGCAGCAGTGGCAGCAGGAGACGCAGAATCAGAAGCAGCAAGAGGAGCAGCATTTGCAGGGGTAGACGGGCTAGAACGATTTGGTCTGGTATGGCTTGGGTTTGGGACGGCTGGGGTGGGTGGGATGAAGAAAGCAGCGATGAGCAGTGGCAGCTGGGAGGGCTTGACGCGCGAGGAAGAGGCGACGAAGCGAGAGACGGCCTGAATGATGGTGGCGCGGAGATCGCGGGATTCCTGAGGGACGGGGATGGAGGGGAGCGATGGGTTGTGAAAGGGGGTAGGGAAGGAAACTTGACCTGTCATGAGATGAGGAGGCAAGAAGGTCGAGAGACGGCCTGAATGATGGTGACGCGGAGCTGACGGGATTCCTGAGGGGAGGGGAGGATGGGGAGTGGACGTGTGGGTGGGTTTAAAGGTCAGAATTGTATGTGAGCTTGAGAATTCTCAAAAGTCGCACCAATAGAGCTTGAAGTGGGACGAGGAGGCGACGAACCGAGAGACGGCCTGGAGGATGGTGGCGCGGAGATGACGAGGTTCCTGAGGGGAGGGGACGAGAGGGATAGGTGTGGGGAAGAGGGCTTGATGCGAGACGAGGAACGTTCGAAGGGTAGAGTAGGGTAGGCCTGGATGGTGGTGGCGCGGAGATGACGGGAGTCCTGTGGGGAGGGGAGGGGGGTGGGGAGTGGGGTGGTAGAAGGGCAGGGAAGGAGAGTGGGCATGATGCGGGGATGAGGAGGCCACAAAGCGAGAGACGGCCTGTATTATTTTGGTGCGGAGCTGACGGGACTCCTGAGGGGGGGGGGGGAGGGGAGGGAGGGAGTAAATAGTGGGAAAATGGGTAGGGAGAGAAAGTGGGATTGGTCTTTGTATAAAGAGGCGACGAAGCGAGAAACGGCCTGGATGATGGTGGTACGGGTTACATCGTTACCTTCGCGAGCAAGATCACGACATTCGTTGAGGGGACTCCTGGGGGGAGGGCGAGAAGGGGGAGGGAAGGGCGAGAGGGAGGAGTGGAGAGAGGGGATGGAGAGCGGGGAATGGTGAACGGGCACGGGAAGGTCTCATCGCTGAAGCATGGGAAAGTACTGATTGGGAAACGCAAGTATGGAGCTGCTTCGTGCAAGCTAGGGGTATTCATGGAACAAGAATGCTTCGTGGAGGGTAAATTCGGAATATGTACCTTGGGATTGGGAGGTGAATCGGACGAAGGACCGTTGGATCTCGGATTCAGGTAAGGCGACCCGGGAAGAAGCTTCCGCGCAGGTTCCACTAATTCTCTCATAAGCATGGCTTGAGCCTGCCTTGCTGCTAGCGAGGAGGAGAAAGCGGAGGAGGAAGGCCCGGGAAGAGAGGAGGGGACGGAGAGCGGTCTCGGAGGCGACGAAGACGAAACGGGAAGGAATGAAGAGATAGGAGCAGCGGCGAGTGAAGAGGAGGAAACCAAGCCGCGGTCGTCGGGATAGATACGATGTTCTCTCATTTTGCTGTTGGACGAGCACGGATACCCATTCCCGCGAGGCAAGAAATTATGGTCAGCCATGGTCAAGACTCACGAGAGATAATAACGGTCATGCAATAATGGACGGTGTCATGTTCTACGATTAGAGCGGATATATTAGGCCTTGGTTGAGAATCCTTTTGTGAAAAGAAGAAAGATCCTCGTAACAAAGATCCTCGTTGGAAGTACAAATAGTTGGAAGGGAAGTCGTAACATTGCCCGCATGCGACAAGATGGTGCTGGGACGAACCCACTCTAGGCGATTTCAGCGAAACCAGCTAAAATGCGGGAGTGAGGCACGATGGAGAAGTTCGCGCTGTTCGCACACAGCTCTTGCTCCCAGGGTGTTCGCGACATTACCAGGTTTTCTTGGTTGCTGCTACGACCTCATCACAACCCCCCGTACCGTCAATACTGCTCAGAGGGCGTCTCAAATCCCTCGGTCCACCCTGGCTCTATGCGGTCGATGGGGACCAGTCCACCAAACCACATCGGACCCAAGCGTGGACCCGCTTCCTGAGCGAATGTGGACCGTGGGTGTAGCAAACCAGCACCCTCGTTTTAGCGAGCGAAAGGGACTATAATGGGGAGGTTATCCTGGTTCAGCGAGCTGGTCCACGTCGGACCCCTCAACAGTCATAGCACTGGCGAACACTCACGAACTCACCTCTCTCTGTCGCAAAATTTGGCGCCCACACGCTTCAGGGAGCAGTTGCACAAGTGTACTATACAGTCTTGCGTCATGGTAACCTAGTTTCTCTCGCATACACGCATCTGTAGAGTGCATCCGCGGACCCAACAACAATGAGTCCGAACCTGGTTTACTCGGTTGGTCCACACTGGTCCGACGGACCAGTCCAGGGTATTTCTGTAGGCACAAAATCAGTGACGGACCAGGTTTGGGCGGGCTGGCGGACCAGCCAAAGTGAGACACGTCCTCAGGGCCCACAGGTCTGGCGATTGGTGGGGTGTTAGGGCGTGTTACATTTTCGATCTTCTTCCAAACTGTACGGACCGTCCGGAAAATCGAAAATGTAACACGCCCTTATAATCACATCAACACTCATAAGTTACAAACGAAATCTGCGAAACGATGGCATAAAGATCCCAGAGGGAGCGTATAGCGCGTTTTTATTGTCCCCTCGGCGCTCAGCGGGTTCCTCGCGCGCGAATATTTGAACCTGACGATTCTGGTCTGTTGCTGCGGCTCGTCAGAGATGGAACCTCGACAGAACCAATGAAAAACTGTGGTGGGCAGGGTAGCTTGAGTCAAAGGAACCTCTCTCTCTATCCATCCAATCCCTCCCAACCTTGCCTGAACCACACCACATCCCCTGAAGTTGAAACCTGGGGCAACCCCAAGACTGCTCCTAGGCAACTCCTAGACAAACTTCAAGGCAACTCCAGAGGCAACAATTGCCAAAGACGCTCTAGGTACCTAATGACCCACCGATAGAGACCCCACGAGTTGATCAGTTCTGATACTCTTCAGGGTACTGGCTCGTCGCCCGTCAGCGTATCCCTTTAAATTACGGATCAGCTTACATGGCTTCCGGTCTCGATGTTATTGTTTTCTTAGCATAGTGGAGGCTGGTTGTTGACTCAGTTCAACGTTACTTTGTAGGCTGGCATTCTGTGGTCGCCAGCATCTCGCTGGCCTTATCGCCCTGTGAGCTGATGACGTCGGTTTAACTACTAACTGAACGCTAAGGACTCCAATCGTCAACCAAGAAAATCTAATCAGTTCTTACGCTGTAAGGCCTTAACTTCCGGCATGAATGTTATGAGGTGATAGCAGCTTTACCAACTTCGCAGGCAAGTCTCAGCTGGCGTTAATCACGTGGAATATATATGTTCAGTAAATGAGCATTCGATGCATCGTTCGAGTAGTGGACAACAAAATTTCAGGTCTCAACATTTAACCATTCACCTCTTAGATTTTCCCTGTTTTTACCTTCCCTTGTTTTCGCTTCTCTTCCAGTTTCAGAATGGAGAACGTTGCTCCATCGCCGTCTTCCGTAGGCCTTCACAGGTCCGCGGGATTGCAAAGCGGACCCAACAAGGCTGATTCTCTCAGCCGTCAGACACCGCTGCAAGGAGGGCCGTCTTCGTCATCGCAGGCAGGAGGATCGTCGTCGTCGTCGTTGTCGCAGCCAGGGGGATCGTCGTCGGCGTTGTCGCAGCGAGGCACGCCTAGAGCAGGGCTTGCGACGCTGACTGGCAACGGCGACGTGCTCACGCCGCAGTCCCAGGCGTGTGAGTATACGAAACATAGTAACGCTTGACCCAACTAACCTCTTATGAACGATGTTGCAATTACTCTCTTATGCCGATATGACCCTTTCGCGTTTACCCTGATTCGCTATCCTTCCATGAGTACCTGTACCCGTAGCTGACTTCTGAGTCGACCCTTTTTTTCTCGTTGACCGTGATTCGCGAATCGTTCTTCCGCGCGTCTCTCTATATCAGGAGTCTGAACCACGTGAACGTGAAGTTGTTGTGCGTCGAGTCCTCGTTGACCCGTTTTGTTATTCCTCCGTACGTTCCGGGTCGGACCGTCGCTACCAAAACTTCGAGGAGCGTGAAAGCAACTCTATGTCGAGACGTCTTTTGTTCACCCAATTTATGCGTCCGTCTCTATCCGCAGATCGCGATCGCTACATCACTGTCAAGAATCCGCGTACCGTGAGACGTCTCAGAACAGGTTTAGTTTCGCGTGCGTCTGGTTCACCTGACTCATGCGTTATCCATCCGTGCGTCCCTCTCTACCCGCAGATCGCGATCGCACCACCGCTGTCAAGACTCCGAGCACCGCCACGAGGACTCGTCCCGTCCCCACGCGGTTATCAGCCGTAATTTCAGACTATTTTAACATTCAAATATTATCCTTACGTGCGTCTCTCTACACGCAGGTCGCGATCGCACCATTGCTGTCAAGGCTCCGAGCACTGGCACGAGGACTCGTCCCGTCCCCACGCGGTTATCAGCCGCGATCTCGAACGATTCGAACAATTTACCGTTATCCTTATGTGCGTCTCTCTACCCGCAGGTCGCGATCGGACTATCGCTGTCAAGACTCCGAGCACCGCAACCAGGACTCGTCCCGTCCCCACGCGGTTATCGGCCGCGATTTCAGACGATTCGAACATCCAAGTAAGGACCCCGCGGGAAATGGCATGTCTCAGATTTTAAACATATTGAGGGGGCTCGAAGCTTCAGGCATGGAAGACTTAGGCGAATTTTGGAGGGGTGTTCAGGATCCACCGCACATGATGCCACGTTAGATGTCACAAGCAGTTTCGGAGACCTTAGAAGGTGGGTTTGCTTGCTGGGCTGGAGCTGATGCCATGTCATGACTAGGAATTCGAGGTGCAGGCCTGCAGGCCCATCCCCGCTCGCTCGTTTGGGGGGAAAATGGTGTGCCACTTTGTGTCCTCGCTCCCTCGCTCTCTGTATCCCGCTTTTCATTCTTTCCTGCTCTCTCCACCCATCCCAACCGCCCACCACACCGTCAGGTGATCGTGAGGGTACGACCACCAGCAGGCCCTGAGCTGACGACGGGGTACCTGGGGGGAAGTGTGTGGCACAGGACGGCCTCCGGTCGCTCTTGAGTCAACTCAACTTTTACCTCCGTTTTCTTTCTACTCTTTCCCTCCCCCACTCCCACCCCAATTCCTCACCACAAGGTGATTGTGAGGGTGCGGCCGCCAGCAGGCCTTGAGCTCACGGGGTACCTCGGGAGGGAGTGCGTGGCACAGGACGGCCCCCGGTTGCTCTTGAGTTGACTTGAAATTCACTTCCGTTTTCATTCTGCGCTTCCCCATCCCAATTTCTCACCACCAGGTGATTGTGAGGGTGCGGCCACCCGCAGGCCCTGAGCTGACGGGGTACCCCGGGGGGAAGTGTGTGGCACAGGATGGCCCCAAGTCGCTGTTCCTGGTGAACCCGGACAGGGCGGGCGCGACGGAGCAGTTCACATTCGACCACGTGGCAGGGGAGAGCGCGTCGCAGGTATGCGTGGGGATTGGAGTAGTGCAGTGCGTGGGGATGGGCGCTCGTGAATGGGAGGGCAGGAGCGAGCGCATGGTCATGGTGGGTATGGACCACAAGTGCCATGAGGTAATGGTGGTTCTGTTGAGACCACTGCCGAAGGCAGTCAACCCCCTCCCTCTAAACCCGCCCCCCTTGGCTCCCCTCCCCTCCCCCTCCCTCCTCGGATGGCCTGTTCGAGCTGGCAGGCTCTTTTCCATTCCTTTAACATCCGCCATCTCTTGCCGCTCAACTCACCCGCTTCCCCCTCTCCTTTCCCCCTCCCCCGTCCCTCTCTCCTGTTACTCTGCAGGAGGATCTGTTTGAGCTGGCAGGGAGGCCCATAGTCGAGAACTGCCTAGCTGGGTACAACAGCACTATGTTCGCGTATGGCCAGGTTCGTTGCTCTGGCTGGCATGTAGCACGGTACCTTCATTTGGATGCACCGTGCTTGGTGTAGGGTGTTTCCGGGAATTCTCAAGGAAGAACACCTCGCTTGCACACCCCATGTTTGTTGTTTGTATGTAGTACCCCACCCTTTCCGTTTGCCTCTTTCATCTTCCCTCACCCCTCGCAACAACCCCTGCAGTCTTATTCGTATCATACCCACTTTCTAGATCATATCCCTGTTCGTTTGCTCTCCCTCGTCATTTGCGATGTCTCACACATCTGTCTTTCATATCCCGTTTCCACCTTTCTGCATGCTCTCTCTCCCTGTTCCTGATCGCTCTCCTCTCCTCTTCCCTGGGTTCGGCCATTCTCTCTTCCTCATGATGCGTCCCAGACTTTCTTTTGTCGACTCAAAACTTACTGCATGCTCTCTCCCTCTTCCTAATCACTCTCCTCTCCTCTTCCATGGGTATGCCCATTCCATCTTCCGTTTGACGCATCTCAGACGGGCAGCGGGAAGACGTATACAATGTTTGGAGCTGACGTGGATAAGGCTGACGTAGACAGACTGCGAGGGGATAACGCTGACGTGGAGGTCGGGTCGAGGTGGGGGATGATTCCGCGAGTGTTCCAGCTGGTCTTCGCCCTCATGCAGCAGGTGCGTCTCGTGTGTCCTTCCCACTCTTTTCTGCCCGCATCTTGCTGCCCACATGCAGCAGGTGCGTCTCGTGTGTCCTGCCCACTCTTTTCTGCCCGCATTTTGCTGCCCATATGCAGCAGAACGTGGGACTGGAATCTCGTGGTTCAGATTGGGATCTTATATTTCCGGGCAGACCATGTTCTGTGCTCTGATTGGACACCATGGTTCTCCTCTAGCTACTTCTGAGCAGACTGAAAGATGACCGCAGACCATGATTTCATGCCTGTGATGTGACCTGCCTGCCTGCCTGGTAGCTGATTGTTGTTACATGCTGCCCCCTGTTCCTCAGTATCTGTGCGTGCTTCCATCATATTGGACTTCACTTAACTCACCTTCCTGCTCCTCTTTCTCCTCCCCAAACTCTCCTCTCCTCCTTCCCTCTTTTCCCTCCCTCTTTCCCACCCCACCTCTCTTCCCTCCTCTCTCCACCTCTCTTCCTTACTCTTTCGTCGTCCACCTCTCTTCCTTCACCCCTCCTCGCCCCTACCAGGAGAAGCAGCAGAGGGCGGGTGAGCGTCTCACGTTCATCTGCACGTGCTCGTTCCTGGAAATCTACAACGAGCATTTCTATGACCTACTGGACCCCAAGCGCTGCAACCTGCACGTGAGTGCTGCACGTTTTAGGTTTATGTTGCAAGTTTTTTCGCTCTGACCTGCATGTGAGTGCTACATACAACCCACAGTGAGCCCACGCTCACAAGCTTTGCACACTGGGTTCTTTGCCTTCTCAGATCAAATCCGAGAGGGCGCTAATGGCATGTTCTGTGAAAAGCCTCACCACGCTGCCGGTCTCCACTCGTCTATCCAGTCCTGTCACACACATTCACATGCCTCGCACACCTGCCTGTCGCTTCGCCTGCTCCCCTCTCTCTCCTCATTTCCCCTTTCGTCCCCCTCAGATCCGAGAGGGCCCCAATGGGGCGTATGTGGAGAATCTCACCAAGCAGCCTGGCTCGCTCGTTGCACTAGCCTAAGCCCCATGTGCCTCACGCCCCATGCCTGTCCCGTTTTCCCCCTCTCCCTCAGATCCGAGAGGGCCCCAATGGCGTGTATGTGGAGAATCTCACCAAGCAACCACTCACCTGCTTTGCCCAAGTCATGGAGCTAATCCAGCGGGTAAGTTGACCTGAGTTGAGCTGAGCTGAGTCGAGTCAAGGTGGCGGCTTGCTATTATGCACAGAGATGCCTTTGATTCGGCTCAAGGTTGTAGCAGTGTTGATATTGGCGTGCCTGTGTGTGTGCGCGTGCGCAGGGAGCGAAGAACCGGCGGGTGGCGGGGACAAACATGAACCGGGAAAGCAGCCGGTCTCACAGCGTCTTCACATGCAACATTGAGAGCACGGTGAGTGCAGTGCTGGTCCTGGCAACATTATGAACATTGTGCATATGTGTAAAGCAATTTCCAAAGGTGTGTGTGTGTGTGTGTGTGTGTGTGTGTGTGTGTGTATGTGTGTGTGTGTGTGTGTGTGTGTGTATGTGTGTGTGTGTGTGTATGTGTGTGTGTGTGTGTGTGTGTGTATGTGTGTGTGTGTGTGTGTGTGTGTGTGTGTGTGTGTGTGTACGTGTCTCCAATGCCCCACCCCACCACTGCAGTGGACGGTTGAGGGCATCAGCAACCGACGCTTCGGTCAACTCAACCTCGTTGACCTTGCGGGCTCTGAAAGGTACTTCGTCATGTCCCATCCCCTCTTATCATGTCTTGCCATTATTTCCCTCTTTGCCAGGTCTTCCCAGGTCTTTCCAGGTCTTCCCACCTGCCAGGTCTTCCCACCTGCCAGGTGCCAGGTCTTCCCACCTGCCAGGTCTTCCCACCTGCCAGGTCTTCCCACCTGCCAGGTCTTCCCACCTGCCAGGTCTTCCCACCTGCCAGGTCTTCCCACCTGCCAGGTCTTCCCACCTGCCAGGTCTTCCCACCTGCCAGGTCTTCCCACCTGCCAGGTCTTCCCACCTGCCAGGTCTTCCCACCTGCCAGGTCTTCCCACCTGCCAGGTCTTCCCACCTGCCAGGTCTTCCCACCTGCCAGGTCTTCCCACCTGCCAGGTCTTCCCACCTGCCAGGTCTTCCCACCTGCCAGGTCTTCCCACCTGCCAGGTCTTCCCACCTGCCAGGTCTTCCCACCTGCCAGGTCTTCCCACCTGCCAGGTCTTCCCACCTGCCAGGTCTTCCCACCTGCCAGGTCTTCCCACCTGCCAGGTCTTCCCACCTGCCAGGTCTTCCCACCTGCCAGGTCTTCCCACCTGCCAGGTCTTCCCACCTGCCAGGTCTTCCCACCTGCCAGGTCTTCCCACCTGCCAGGTCTTCCCACCTGCCAGGTCTTCCCACCTGCCAGGTCTTCCCACCTGCCAGGTCTTCCCACCTGCCAGGTCTTCCCACCTGCCAGGTCTTCCCACCTGCCAGGTCTTCCCACCTGCCAGGTCTTCCCACCTGCCAGGTCTTCCCACCTGCCAGGTCTTCCCACCTGCCAGGTCTTCCCACCTGCCAGGTCTTCCCACCTGCCAGGTCTTCCCACCTGCCAGGTCTTCCCACCTGCCAGGTCTTCCCACCTGCCAGGTCTTCCCACCTGCCAGGTCTTCCCACCTGCCAGGTCTTCCCACCTGCCAGGTCTTCCCACCTGCCAGGTCTTCCCACCTGCCAGGTCTTCCCACCTGCCAGGTCTTCCCACCTGCCAGGTCTTCCCACCTGCCAGGTCTTCCCACCTGCCAGGTCTTCCCACCTGCCAGGTCTTCCCACCTGCCAGGTCTTCCCACCTGCCAGGTCTTCCCACCTGCCAGGTCTTCCCACCTGCCAGGTCTTCCCACCTGCCAGGTCTTCCCACCTGCCAGGTCTTCCCACCTGCCAGGTCTTCCCACCTGCCAGGTCTTCCCACCTGCCAGGTCTTCCCACCTGCCAGGTCTTCCCACCTGCCAGGTCTTCCCACCTGCCAGGTCTTCCCACCTGCCAGGTCTTCCCACCTGCCAGGTCTTCCCACCTGCCAGGTCTTCCCACCTGCCAGGTCTTCCCACCTGCCAGGTCTTCCCACCTGCCAGGTCTTCCCACCTGCCAGGTCTTCCCACCTGCCAGGTCTTCCCACCTGCCAGGTCTTCCCACCTGCCAGGTCTTCCCACCTGCCAGGTCTTCCCACCTGCCAGGTCTTCCCACCTGCCAGGTCTTCCCACCTGCCAGGTCTTCCCACCTGCCAGGTCTTCCCACCTGCCAGGTCTTCCCACCTGCCAGGTCTTCCCACCTGCCAGGTCTTCCCACCTGCCAGGTCTTCCCACCTGCCAGGTCTTCCCACCTGCCAGGTCTTCCCACCTGCCAGGTCTTCCCACCTGCCAGGTCTTCCCACCTGCCAGGTCTTCCCACCTGCCAGGTCTTCCCACCTGCCAGGTCTTCCCACCTGCCAGGTCTTCCCACCTGCCAGGTCTTCCCACCTGCCAGGTCTTCCCACCTGCCAGGTCTTCCCACCTGCCAGGTCTTCCCACCTGCCAGGTCTTCCCACCTGCCAGGTCTTCCCACCTGCCAGGTCTTCCCACCTGCCAGGTCTTCCCACCTGCCAGGTCTTCCCACCTGCCAGGTCTTCCCACCTGCCAGGTCTTCCCACCTGCCAGGTCTTCCCACCTGCCAGGTCTTCCCACCTGCCAGGTCTTCCCACCTGCCAGGTCTTCCCACCTGCCAGGTCTTCCCACCTGCCAGGTCTTCCCACCTGCCAGGTCTTCCCACCTGCCAGGTCTTCCCACCTGCCAGGTCTTCCCACCTGCCAGGTCTTCCCACCTGCCAGGTCTTCCCACCTGCCAGGTCTTCCCACCTGCCAGGTCTTCCCACCTGCCAGGTCTTCCCACCTGCCAGGTCTTCCCACCTGCCAGGTCTTCCCACCTGCCAGGTCTTCCCACCTGCCAGGTCTTCCCACCTGCCAGGTCTTCCCACCTGCCAGGTCTTCCCACCTGCCAGGTCTTCCCACCTGCCAGGTCTTCCCACCTGCCAGGTCTTCCCACCTGCCAGGTCTTCCCACCTGCCAGGTCTTCCCACCTGCCAGGTCTTCCCACCTGCCAGGTCTTCCCACCTGCCAGGTCTTCCCACCTGCCAGGTCTTCCCACCTGCCAGGTCTTCCCACCTGCCAGGTCTTCCCACCTGCCAGGTCTTCCCACCTGCCAGGTCTTCCCACCTGCCAGGTCTTCCCACCTGCCAGGTCTTCCCACCTGCCAGGTCTTCCCACCTGCCAGGTCTTCCCACCTGCCAGGTCTTCCCACCTGCCAGGTCTTCCCACCTGCCAGGTCTTCCCACCTGCCAGGTCTTCCCACCTGCCAGGTCTTCCCACCTGCCAGGTCTTCCCACCTGCCAGGTCTTCCCACCTGCCAGGTCTTCCCACCTGCCAGGTCTTCCCACCTGCCAGGTCTTCCCACCTGCCAGGTCTTCCCACCTGCCAGGTCTTCCCACCTGCCAGGTCTTCCCACCTGCCAGGTCTTCCCACCTGCCAGGTCTTCCCACCTGCCAGGTCTTCCCACCTGCCAGGTCTTCCCACCTGCCAGGTCTTCCCACCTGCCAGGTCTTCCCACCTGCCAGGTCTTCCCACCTGCCAGGTCTTCCCACCTGCCAGGTCTTCCCACCTGCCAGGTCTTCCCACCTGCCAGGTCTTCCCACCTGCCAGGTCTTCCCACCTGCCAGGTCTTCCCACCTGCCAGGTCTTCCCACCTGCCAGGTCTTCCCACCTGCCAGGTCTTCCCACCTGCCAGGTCTTCCCACCTGCCAGGTCTTCCCACCTGCCAGGTCTTCCCACCTGCCAGGTCTTCCCACCTGCCAGGTCTTCCCACCTGCCAGGTCTTCCCACCTGCCAGGTCTTCCCACCTGCCAGGTCTTCCCACCTGCCAGGTCTTCCCACCTGCCAGGTCTTCCCACCTGCCAGGTCTTCCCACCTGCCAGGTCTTCCCACCTGCCAGGTCTTCCCACCTGCCAGGTCTTCCCACCTGCCAGGTCTTCCCACCTGCCAGGTCTTCCCACCTGCCAGGTCTTCCCACCTGCCAGGTCTTCCCACCTGCCAGGTCTTCCCACCTGCCAGGTCTTCCCACCTGCCAGGTCTTCCCACCTGCCAGGTCTTCCCACCTGCCAGGTCTTCCCACCTGCCAGGTCTTCCCACCTGCCAGGTCTTCCCACCTGCCAGGTCTTCCCACCTGCCAGGTCTTCCCACCTGCCAGGTCTTCCCACCTGCCAGGTCTTCCCACCTGCCAGGTCTTCCCACCTGCCAGGTCTTCCCACCTGCCAGGTCTTCCCACCTGCCAGGTCTTCCCACCTGCCAGGTCTTCCCACCTGCCAGGTCTTCCCACCTGCCAGGTCTTCCCACCTGCCAGGTCTTCCCACCTGCCAGGTCTTCCCACCTGCCAGGTCTTCCCACCTGCCAGGTCTTCCCACCTGCCAGGTCTTCCCACCTGCCAGGTCTTCCCACCTGCCAGGTCTTCCCACCTGCCAGGTCTTCCCACCTGCCAGGTCTTCCCACCTGCCAGGTCTTCCCACCTGCCAGGTCTTCCCACCTGCCAGGTCTTCCCACCTGCCAGGTCTTCCCACCTGCCAGGTCTTCCCACCTGCCAGGTCTTCCCACCTGCCAGGTCTTCCCACCTGCCAGGTCTTCCCACCTGCCAGGTCTTCCCACCTGCCAGGTCTTCCCACCTGCCAGGTCTTCCCACCTGCCAGGTCTTCCCACCTGCCAGGTCTTCCCACCTGCCAGGTCTTCCCACCTGCCAGGTCTTCCCACCTGCCAGGTCTTCCCACCTGCCAGGTCTTCCCACCTGCCAGGTCTTGCGTTTTGAAGCTCTGAAAGCTACCCCCAATTCACAAGGTACCTCGCATCCCCATTCCAACCCCACTCCACCCGTCTAGTATACCCCTCTCCCCACCTCTCCGCACTCTCCACCTGCTGCAGGCAAAAGTCATCAGGGGCCACGGGGGAGAGGCTCAAGGAGGCGAGCTCCATCAACACATCGCTTTCCCAGCTCGGGTTTGTCACCTCTCTCCCTTGGCTTAACACACTGTGAGAAAGATTGTTTCTATATTAATTGCTGATGGTATGCTTTGAGGACATGAGCGGCTCAAGGAGGCACGAGCTCCCTCAACACGTCGCTCTCCCAGCTTGAGTTCATCGCCTCTCTCCCTTGGCTGAACACGCTGTGAGAATGAGTGCTTCTATATTGATTGCCGACGGGATGCTTTGAGGACATGAGCGGCTCAAGGAGGCACGAGCTCCATCAAATCTTCGCTCCAGCAAAGATATCTCTTTCCTGTGTGCATGCGTTGGTCTTGCAGCAAGGTGATCATGGTGCTGGTGAAGTTGCTATGGGAGAACAAGCCTTGCCCGTTGGTGCGAAACCATTCACTCCTGTGTGCTCATCATGTCTGTCCCTGTGCTTGTGTTCATGCCTGTGTTGGTGTCACAGCAAGGTGATCATGGTGCTAGTGGAGTCGCTGAGGGAGAACAAGCCTCGCCACGTGCCCTACCGCGACTCCTACCTCACCTTCCTCCTGCAGGTGAATACCCTGGCTCCGTTCACCTCCAGGTGAACACCCTGGTTCCCTGCTCCACCAGGTGATTACTCTTGTCTCTTCTCCCTCCAGGTGACATTCCTTGTTCTTCCTGGCTCGTCCAGGTAAGTACCGTTCCTCCTTGCTCCTCCAGCTAAGTACTCTTGCTCCTGCCTTGGTTTCTTCGGTTTACGTTGTCCCTGCCCTCATATTTGAAGCCCCTGGGAACCCCCAAGTCAGGTGAGGTGACATACCATGGCATGGACTCGATATGTGTCTGCAATGCAACGTCATGCCAACACCACCCGCTTTCACCACCCACTCCATGTGCAGGACTCTCTGGGCGGCAACTCCAAGACCACCATCATCGCGTGCATCAGCCCATTCGCAGGGTAAGCATCAAGCTTGCCAACAGCAGGATGAGTGAGCCGGACATCCTTACTGTGGATGCCACGCAACTTGCACTCGACTGTTAGAGTCTCTGTCTTCCATCTCTCTCCCTCGCCGTCCGTGAAGCATCTTCTTCATCTCATCTTTTCTCACGCTTGACACTTTGTCACATATCATGCCTCTTGTTTGATGTGTCTCCTCTCCCCTGCATGCATACATGCATGTGGAGCTCGTGCTGTGAGTCTCACAACGCAGAGAGTTCTTGAGACGCCTAAACTCATACATACGTAGTATCTCTATACCCTACCTTGTGTGTCTGCACCCGCAGGTCATTCCGGGAATCTCACAGCACGCTCAAGTTCGCCCAGAGGGCGAAGCTGGTGCATAACAAGGCGGTGGTGAATGAGGCTGCAGAGGGCGAGAAGGACGCCCTCAAGAAGGAGATCGCCCGGCTCAAGGTGAGTTTGAAGATCTCCTAAAAGGCCTCATTGCCTGCATAACCTCTGCACCTGCGAAGCCCGTTTGCACCTCCCTTCTCTCCCTCCAACCATACTTCATCCCTCTTCTTCCCTCTTCTCCCTCGTCTCCCACCATCCCCACACACAGGACGAGCTTCATCGACTGTACAAGCTCTGCACCTGCGAGGCCCGTCTGCTCCTCCCTGCCTCCTCCTCCTCCCCGCCTCCCTTCGCCCTCCCTCACTCCCGCACCACCACACCCAGAACACCCCGCAACGCTGCCACCAATGCTGCTGGTACCTCCACCAGCGCTGCTGCTTGCTCCCCACTGGCAATGGCGTTACAGGAGAGAGCAAACTCCCCCAGACATGTGCAGCTGCTGGGGGAGATTGAGCGGCTGGAACGGACGCTAGCAGGGTGCCTGCGCCGGGAGAGGGAGCTGGAGCGGGAAGTGGGGGTTCTGAGGGGCGAGAATGCGAAGCTGAGGAAGCAGCTCGCTGCTGCTGCTGCTGCTGCTGCTGTTGATGGTGGGGTTGGGGCTGATGTGAAGGGTGCTGCTGGTGCTGGTGTTGCTGGTGGTGATGGCTCTGCTGGGGTGGAGGGAGTGGAGGGGATGGGTGAGGGAGAGGGGATGGTGGGGAGGCTGGAGACTGTGGAGGAGGGGGAGGAGGAGGAGGAGGAGGTGGAGGAGGGAAGTGGGTCGGAGGATATGGCGACTCTCAAGGATCAGGTGAGCGCGGATTAGAGAGGGGTGAGGAGCAGCACGTGTTGAGTTTGGCGCGCACAGAATACATCCATTTCTACTCCTCCCTGCCATCCCTGTCCTCCCTGCACAGAATACGCTCGAGCTGCAGGGGGAACAGGCGGTGCTGAATTGCTTCAAGGAGCACTTACGGCTGTCTGATCCTCGCCTCCCTGCCCTCCCTGGCCTCGCTGCCTTACTCCCCTCCCTGCCCTCCCTCCCCTCCATTCCATCCCTCCTCTCCCTCCCCTCCTTCTGCCCTATTTGCCCTCCCTCCCTGCCCTTGTATGCCAACATCAGGTGGCGGAGCTGCTGGTGCAGAAGGCAGCAGCAGGCGGGGGCCACGCTCAGGAGCGCATAGAGGAGCTGACGCTCGAGCTGCAGGGCGCACGGGAAGAGCTGGCTCGCTGCAGGGAGCACCTAAGGCTGTCTGATGCTGCTAACGAGCAGCTTGCGAGGTGAGCAACGAGCAGGAAGAAGAGAGCAAGCGAGTTGGCGGTGGTGCTCGGGAATGAGAGAGCAGCTGGGCCGGGGGTATGTGCACCAGGTGTGATGCCGGGAGCACTTGCAGCTGCCTAATGCTTCTAACGACTGGCTGGCAAACCGAGATGCAGAGATCTCTTCACGTTCATCCCCCTCCATTCCTCCACCCCACCTTCCCCACAACACTCTGTCCCCACCCCCGTCCACCCACCACCTCCCATCCAACAGGCAAACGAAAGAGATGGAGGGCGGGATGCAGCTGCTGACTGTGCAGAGCCTCTCAACTCATGCCCCTCCGTCTCTCCAACTCTCCATCCTCCCATCCCCCCGTACCCACCACCGCCCATCCAACAGGCAAACGAAAGAGATGGAAGCGGAGATGCAGCTGCTGGCTGCTCAGAACCTCTCTCTGGAAGAGCAAATCAGCTCTCTCAAGGGTTTCAAGGCTGATGCCTCCTCGTCCGCACTCCAGAGGGGGTTCGCTGCGCACAAGGGAGATCTCTCCTCCGCGCCCACTCCCATCCCATCAGCCGCGCGTGCTGCTGCTCCCAGCACCCTCATTCCCACGCCTCTGGTCACCACCACAAGAGGCGCTCGTGCTGCCACTCCCAGCAGCGGCGGCTTTGGTACCAGCCTGGGGGCAGGCATCAATAGGAACCTCGAGGAGGCGTTTTCTGGCGCTAAGGGGTTTGAAACTCCGCTTTCGACAAGGGGTAAGAGTGCAGCAGCAGGGAGAGGCGGAGGAGGAGGGGGAGGAGGGGGAGTAGGAGGTTCGGAGTGTGTGGTTGACTGTAGGTCCTCTCTCAGGCATGTGGGCAAGGATCAGGATAGGTTCAGGCAGCAGAGGTTGGATTTGGACTCGGCTATTAAAGGGAAGTTGGAAGCTGAGTGGGCCAACAGCGCGCTCAAGGCGAATCTGAAGCTCCAGGAGCAGGAAGCGAGGGAGCTTGTAGAGAGGATGCAGACCGAGGAGGAACGGAGGCGTGAGGCAGAGAGGTTGGCGGAGGAGGCGGAGAGAGAGGTTCGGGAAGCTGGCGCCGCAGCTGCGGCGCTGGCTCGGGAGAAAGCTGCGGTGGAGGAGCAACTGCGTGCGATTCAGGAACAGGTCCGGGAGCTCCAAGGTCGGGAGGAGCGGAGCGAGGAGGAGAGGAGGGATTTGGAGGAAGCGTTAAGGAGAGAGAGGGATTTGGGGGAGGAGGCTGCTCAGTTGGCTGAGGCTGAGTGGAAGAAGACTCAAGAGGCGACTGCTAGGAGGATTGCTGCTGAGAGGAGCCTTCAGAGGACGATGGATGAGGCGAAGAATCTGAGAGGATTGCTGGATGATTCGGAGGAGACGAGGGCTAAGTATGTGAGGCTGAAGCATGAGCTACGGGCAGCACTGCAGAGGCTTGTGAAGGCGGCGGAACAGAAGGTGGAGGATGAGAAGGCGTTGGAGAGGATGAGGGAGGAGTTGGGAGCGGTGAGAGCGCAGGTGGTGAGTGCGGTGGAAAGGGCGGAAGAGGCGGAGAGGAGAGTGAGGGAGGGTGGGGTGAGAGGTGCCGGAGTTGGGGCGGGTGTTGGGGGAGATGAGGTGGCAGGTAGGGAGGGTGAGGTGTTGGATGAGGGGAGTGAGGTGGCCGGAGGAGAGGTGAGGGTGGGAGAGGGAAAGGAGGTAGAGTGCTTGAGGGAAGAGAGTATGATGGAAGAGAGGGAGCAGGCACAGCGGCTAGTGGATGACCTATTGAGGAAGGTAGAGGACTTGGAGGAGAAGGGACGGGAGGCGGAGAGGAGGGCGGAAGTGGATGCTCTGAGACTGGAGGAAGCAGCAAGGAAGCTGCAGGAGGCGCAGGATGAAGCGATTTTGGCAGGGGAGAAGGTGAGAGAGAGGCTGGAGGAGGAGGAGATGTTGAGAGAGAGGGTGGAGGCGTTGGAGGGCCTGATGCAGATTGAGGAAGCAGAAGCTGTCAGGGAAAACGCAGAGGTGATGCTGCTGCAGGGGATACTGGAAGATATGGAAGGTACTGGTCGGTTTGGAATGGTGAAGATGGAAGGGGAAGGGGGGCTGGAGCAGGGGCAATCTCGGGAAGTGCTGGAGGGGGAGTTGTTGCGGGTGCGAGAGGAGGTTGAGGGGAAAGAGGAGATCCGGAGGCATAAGGAGGAGTTGGAGAGCAGTCGGAGAGAGTTGGAAGAGGTGATGGTGAAGCTGGGAGTGTGGGAGGACACGTGGGCGGCCTGGGAGACTCACCGGCAAGAGGTGCAATATCCAGGGGGATGCTGGTATGATATGGGCGTGAGGTATAACTGGGGGAGGGTGGTTCTGGAGCTTGTTCAGAGGGAGCTGAGGAGAGAGAGGGAGGGGAAGGTGAAGGCGGAGGAGGGGAAGGAGAGGGCGGAGGAGGAGAGGAGAGAGGCGGATGAGGCAGTGTGGAAAGCGGAGAGGGAGGTGAGGGCTTTGGTGGACGAGAATGGGGAGCTGAGGGAGATGTTGGGGTTGAGGGAAGGGGATGTGGTGGCAGTGCCGGGGAAAGGGAGGAGGGAGAGCTTTGAGCTTGCAATTGGTGCGCTTAGAGCGAGGATTTGGGATGGGAGGGTGAGGGAAAGGGAGATGGAAGTGGAGGAGGGGAGGGTGGAGAGGGAGAGGAGGTCGGTGGAGGAGAGGAGGATGAGTATGGAGGAGAGGAAGAGGGAAGTGGAGAGGAGGAAGGATGAGGAGCAAAGGGAGGATGAGGACAGGAGGGGGGATGAGGAGTCGAGGGAGGATGAAGAGGCGGGTGGTGAAGATGTGCAAAGAGAGAAGGATCGGGATGAGATTCCGTCAGGCTTGGAGGGGATCGAAGAAGAGAGGATTGAGCAGGAGGAGGTGGAGGAAATGGGGGAGATGGGGGAGGTTACACTGGCGGTGCAGGGCGCAGGGGACGGGCAGCAGGCGAAGGAGGCAAGGAGGCAAACGGAGGATGAGAGAAGGATGGAGGAGGAGCAGCTGAAGGCCTCGTGTGCTGCGTTGGAGGAGCAGGGAGCACAGATGGATGCTGAACTGGCAGGGTTTAGGGCGGAGAGGGAGAAGCAGAGGAGGGAGGTGGAGCAGATGCGAGCAGTTAGAGAGGTTCTGGAGAGGGAGAGGTGGCTGCTGGATCAGAGAGGGGGGGAGTGTGGGGCGGAGGAAACGGGGAAAGGAGAGGATGAGGGGGAACGGAGGACCGAGGAGGAAAAGGTAGATGGGGAAGGGTCTGGGTGGGAAGAAGGTCGGGAGGAGTATGGGATGGGGGTGCTGAGTACTCCCGTTCGTGCTGCTGACGTGGGAACAGATGGGGTGTCAGCAGTGAGCTTGCAGCAGCCACATGCCACTCTGGCTTTTGAGGCGCCTCAACAGCCACGTGCCACTCCAGTGCTCTTCTCTGCTTCTCGTGAACTGGGGAGAGGGAGGCAGGGTGGGAGAATGAGTTTGCCTGCACGTCTGGACGGAAGTGTGGTGTGTGCTGGTGGTGGGTTGGAGTGTGAGAGGGAGGGAGCGGTGGGGAGTGGTGATGAGTGGTGGAGTGGGAGGATGGAGAGGGAGAGGGAGCGGGAGAGGAAGATGGAGCGGAAGGAGGGCGAGGTAAAGCAGCTGGTGAAGCAGATCGAAGTCCTTCAGAAGGAGGTGCGTACTTGGGAACTTTCACCTTTTAGTGCTGCTTTGTAAAAGCCTTGTTTTCGAATCGGCCATGCTTCAATCCCTCCCATGTCCCCATCCCTACCATGCCCCCATCCTCCCATGCCCCCTTCCCTCCTCCCTTGCCTCCATCTCTCCTCCCATGCCCCCATCCCTCTTCCCATCCTTCTTCACTGCCCGCACCCATCTTCCCATGCCCCCATCCATCCCATCCATCCCATCCTTACCAGAACCGCCTGCTTCACGCCCAGCTGTGTGCGTCAGAGCAGTCAGTGCGCGGGTCACTCGCTGCCATGAGCATCCCGCATAGGTTTGCCTTCATCTCAACCCAACCTTTCCATGCGCCTATCCTTCCCGTCCCTCCCATCCATCCCATCCCTCCCATACCCCCAGAACCGCCTGCTTCACGCGCAGCTAAGTGCGTCAGAGCAGTCAGTGCGGGGCTCACTCGCTGCCATGAGCACTCCAGCGCCCACGCGGGCGAGGAGCAGACGAAGCACACAAGAGGGGTCACCTGGAGCGACGGAGATTTGCACGAGCAAAGAAATGGGCATGGGCTCCATTCTTGAAGCAGCAGGATCAGCATCAGAGTCGGGTATTGGAACGGCCGCGGATGGGGGAGGCTCGCCCGATCCAGCAGGTGCAGCAGCAGGAGGGGCAGCAGTGGAGCTGCTGAAGGCCAAGGCGTTGAGGAGGCACCAGCAAGTGCTGCAAAAGGTGTGTTGCCGTGCTCACGTGTTGAGGCGCCTCAGCAAACAGGTGATGCATCAAGCGGGTTGGTGGCTTTGGTTGTTACTCCCGCTCCCAGAATGTCCCATGCTCCTCAATCATGCACTCCACGTGGCACAGATGGCTCCTTTCCTCAGCAACCCTGCCACGGTGGCAGGTTTTCCCCCCACCCACGCCCTCTCATCCTCTCCTTGTCGCCTCGCCTCCACCAGGACCATAGCCTTCTCAGCCTTCACCGTTCCCTAAACTATCCCTTTCCATGTGACTTCTTCTCCTCGTTGCTTCTTCTGCCAGGACCATGAGATTCGCCAGCTTCGCATGCAGCAAGACATCCTTCTTCAGGAAAAAGACAAGTACGTCGCCCTTGCCTTCTCACAATGCCCTCTCTGCTCTGAACATTTGAGAAGCCTCAAAAAGCCTGCCCTCTCTGCTCTGAACTTTTTCGTTTTGGGGAACAAGATGTGCGTCACCCTTTTCTTCCCACCTGCTCTCTCTGCTGACCCTTCTCATTCAAAGAGTCGTACTTATATCACTCCTTCATTCACCCCTCTGCCCCGCTCCTCAACCTTCCGCTGTCCCGCACGCTCCTCAATTCATCCATTCCCCTCTCCTCTGGTGTTGCTTACACCAGCTTTGGAAACTTTCACTTCTGGAAACACTTTGCCACTGGCCTCTTCCTTCAATAAGTTTCATCATCCGCTTACTCCCTCTCTGTTCGCCTCTGCTTTCCATCATCCATCTAACGCAAATTCTGGTACTGAAGACGCAGCATGCAGCGACCGCGGTTTCATGTGGTGTCAATTTCTATCCGCCCTGTCACAATCTCCCAGGTTTCTGGTAGAGATGCAGCAAATTCGGTCAGAGGCAGTGCTGCAGAGGAGCATGGCGGACAAGTGCCTGCAGAAGAACCACGCGCTCTCCCAGGAGAATGCGCACCTCAAGGTGAGAAGCGCTTGCTGGGTTGATGGTAGTGCAGCAACAGGTATTGAAGCAGCAGCGTGCAGCACAGCGGTCAGAAGCAGTGCTGCAGAGGAGCATCGGGGGCAAGTGCCTGCAGAAGAACCACGCGCCATCCCAGGAAAATGCTCACCTCAAGGTGAGATTGTGGCTCTACAACTCCTGAGAAACAGTTTCTTAGTGCAGCAGCAACAGGCAGAACAGCAACAGGCAGAACAGCAACAGGCAGAACAGCAACAGGCAGAACAGCAACAGGCAGTGCAGCAGCAGGCAATGCAGCAACAGGCAGTGCAACATAGAAGCATGGCGGACATTCTATCTTCTATTCGTTCTCTTAACCTTCCTTGGCTCCTTTGTCCTCCCCCACCTCACCCCAGCAACAACTGGAGGGCGTGCAGCAGCAGCTGGAGAGGGCAGAGGGCGAGCTGGCGAGGCTTGTGGGGCAGAACAACCTGAAGCAGCGCATTCACATGTTCGACAAGGTCAAGGTGCGTTGGGGTGCAGCGTTTGCCTGAACCTGCTCGAGTGTCTATTGAGCTACAGGTGGGTTGAGTCAGAGAGGCTGGTGGGGCAGCACAACCTGAAGCAGCGCATTCACATGTTCGACAAGGTCAAGGTGAGAAGTGGATGGATGGTGGGATGCGAGCGGGATGGTGGGGCGCGAGGGGGATGGTGGGGCGCGAGGGGGATGGTGGGGCGCGAGGGGGATGGTGGGGCGCGAGGGGGATGGTGGAGCGCGAGGGGGATGGTGGGGTGCGTGGTCGATGGTGGGATGTGAGGGGGATGCTGGGGTGTGAGGTGGATAGAGGGGTGCGAGGTGGATGGTGGCGTGTGAATGGAGAGGCCTTTGACTCTACTCAGGTATCACCTCTTGAGCTGGTGAGGCATCCATGTGTTTGCCAAGTTCAAAGTAAGCAGTGGATTCTTGTCCAGTTACATGAAGATGGTCTGGTTCTCGACTCATTTTACAACCGATTCACATAATAACCCCCCCCTCCCCCTTTTTTTTTTGCGTTTCCCCTCGCAGAACAGCACTCTCAGGGTGCAGAACCAGGAGATGGGCGCAGCAGTGAAGCGCATGGAGAAGCGGGTGAGGCCACAATCCCAACTCCTCCTCCCCTTCTCCCTCCCCCTCCTCCCCCCTCCCACCACCCACCCCCTCACGCAGGTGGAGAACAGCACTCTGAGGGCGCAGAACGAGGAGATGGCAGCAGCAGTGAAGCGCATGGAGGGGCGGGTGAAGCGGCTGGAGCAGGAGCTGGGACGGCACAGGAAGAAGGCAGGGCAGGCTGAGAAGATTGACTATGATGAGGAGGCGAGGCTGCAGCAACGTCTGGAGGTGGGTGGTGGAAGTGGTGTTGGGTGTGCAGTGAAGGGAATGGGTGTGTGGCACCAGAGAGGCTAGCACGAGATGAAGGTGGGGCAGGCGGAGAGGATTGATTATGATGAGGAGGCGAGGCTGCAGCTGCGACTGGAGGTGGGTGGTGGAAGTGGTGTTGGGTGTGCAGTGAAGGGAATGGGTGTGTGGCACCAGAGAGGCTAGCACGAGATGAAGGTGGGGCAGGCGGAGAGGATTGATTATGATGAGGAGGCGAGGCTGCAGCTGCGACTGGAGGTGGGTGATGATGGCGTTCCTACTGCTACATCCCCCCCTCCCCTCTCCCCTAAAAGAGTTGAAGACCCCCCCAAGCTGCCCACTTGGTCAAACTGTGGTTTTCTGCATCCTGCCTGCATACCCCGGTTCCCTTTTATTGCAGGAGGTGGAGAGGGGCAGTGCTGACGTGGCACAGAAGCTGCTCACTGTCTGCCAAGCTGTCCTCCAGGTCAGTGCCACGTCCTCACGATCCAGTTGCATTGCTCTCGCTTTGAGTCGCCTCACTTCAACTGAGCTCATTGCTTTGACGCGGATGTGACATGCTGCAGCAGCTATGTGTGGAGTTTTTTTTTAGTTTCACATGGCACTCTGCTCCCCTCCCACTGTGCCTCTCGGCCCATGCAGATAACTGAGGGTGCAGCAAACGCCCATGCAGCTGTTACGGATGGGCATGATCCAGAGAACGGCAGTGGCAGCAGCAGCAGCAGCAGCAGCAGCAGCAGCAGCAGCAGCAGCAGTGGTGGTGGTGGTGGAGGCAGCAGTGTGGGAGAGGGGTCGCTAGGTGCGGACCCGTCAGGTGCAGCCCTTGCTGCTTTGAACGCCCTCAAGTTCAGGATCAAGGCTGTAGACGACGAGATCAGCGACCTCAAGTTCCAGGTGAGTAGCAGTGCTTGAATTTTTGCCTGCTCAGTTTTTTTTTAGAACTCAGGGTGATTCTGAGCGTTGAAATCAAGGTTGGTGCCTTTCCTGCTCGGGATGTTTGTGAGATTTTAGTTCCTTGGTGACTCTCTTGCTCAGTCTGCACATCCCCTTTTTGTTCCTCTGCCTGCCCCTATTTTCCGTACCCTCCGTCCCTCCCCCAACGTTTCCCCCCTCCTCTCTCTCAGCCCTTATTTTCTCCCCTCCCCTTCCCTCTTGGCGCCATCCTCTCCCATCCTCCTCCACAGGCGCGCATGGCTGCAGAGAAGGCAGACCTGTTTGAGCTCTAAGAAAACAACGCCATCAGTCACACCCCGTTTTCTCCCCTCCCCTCCTCTCTTGCCGCCGTCCTCGCCCATCCTCCACAGGCCCGCATGGCAGCAGAGAAGGCAGACCTGTGTGAGCTTCGAGAGAAGAATGCTATCGGTCACTCGGCGCAATCACTCTCTCCCCCGCTTCCACCCCAGTTTTTGGCCACGCTCGACTCCATTCCTGCGTTGGCGGATGAAAATGCACTGGCTACTGTTGAGGCACCTTAGAAGGACTCTCATTTCCTTCCACCCCGGTTCTTACATATGCTTGACTTGACTGCCTTTTTGCATTGTGCATAAGATGACATGCCTCCGTGCACTGTGATTACTTCTCATATTTGTGTATATGCCATTTTCTGAGAAACGTTTAGGCGGAGAATGAAGTTTAGAGCCCTTGCAACTAGATTTAACTAACATTCTTATTTTGTTTTCCCTGCTTACCGCTTTGAAACGCAGCGCACCAATAAGAAGCGGGGGTTCCTGGTCTTGACAGGAAACGAGGACAACAGGGAGCACGCAAAACGAGCCGAAATCTAGGGCTATTACGCCCCTAACAAGCTGAAATCGAGGGATGAACCGAAATTATTCGCATCGCATTTCAACTTGCGATGTACCTCCGCGTCTCAAGCATCTCGCGTTCTTCTTGACCGGTATTGTGCGGTGCAGATGTCGATTCTCTAGCTAATTTCGTCTTGTGTCGCGGTTTGAATCAAACGAAATGCGGTGAAACGTCAGAAGCGATGCTGGGAATGCGCCCTCAGTCCCAAGTGGGTCGAGTATTATTGCCCAGAGGAAACTCCTGAAAGGCCACCGCCAACGGTGGAATTCCATTCGCGTTTCCATTCCCTCCTAGCTGCTGCTGTTTTGCTTGCTTGTGTTGTGTCCCGTTTCGCTTCATTCCAACGGGTATCACGCTTCGCCCGTGACGTCGTATACGCTTGTTTCTCGCTTCTCAATGTTTCGCGTCAAACTGGTAGTTTTAGCCTTGGCATCTTAGTCACGTCGCTCGCCGCCGCGAATCCCAAGGCTTTCAGTCAGGCTCCAAGTGTAAAATACCTAGTCACCATACGGTACATATAGTAGCCATATACAAAAGATTACATATAATAGTCATGTACGGTAAACTACATGTAGCCAGCCAAATAAGATATATTGCCAAATAACTGTACAGAGCGCTCTCGTTCTTGTTTTCGAATCAGTAGACGAGAAATATTCGTCCTTTCGGTATCCCAAACGTCATTTTTTAAGTCGACTGAAAAATCAGTAGGAAAGAGATATCCGTCCTTTCTGTATCCCAAACGTCTTCATCGTGAATGGCGTCGTCCGGCGGCGCGGATTACGGCGCGTCAGGCGGCGGCGGAAGCTGGGTAGCGCTCCTCCGCGCGCTTCTCGCGCAGGAGGAGGTACTATTCGGGATCTTAATCGCCGGCAGCGCGGCGCAGGCCTGGTGGCAGCTCTACGGCGTGTCGCGCTCTTTGAAAACACTCAAATCCGCGCGCGAAACCACCGTCGCGGAACTCAACGGGATACCGCCAGCGGGCGGCGGAGCTTCGGAGGGTCCCGGCGCGCGGGGGGGGAAGGCTGGCGGAAACGGCGGGTGGCGGTGGTGGTTCAGGCGCGCGCCGGAGAAGGCCAGCGGGACAGGCGGGGAGAAAATTGAGGGAGCGGGAGGTAGCAGCAGTAGTAGCGGGGATAACAGGGGTAACGGCAGCGGGGAAAGCCGCGGGTACTTCACGCGCCTATGGCGGGGGAATGGAGGCGGAGAGAGCAGACCAGGGAAAGATGATAGCAGCAGCCTCAGCGCCCGCAGCGACACCAGCGGTGGTGGCAGCAGCAGCAGCAGCAGCAGCGGGAGCAGCAGCAGCAGTGGCGGGTTGAAATGGCTGTTACCCGTGGGTAGAAGCAAGAGAGGTGACGGGTCGTCAACGTCAAGCCAGTCAGCAGCAGCAGCATGGGGGCAGCGGGAGCTGGGACAGAGCCAGCCGCAACAGCAGGGGGGCCAACGGGAGCTGGGGCAGGGGCCGTCAGACGCGAGCGAGCTAGCAGATTACACCAACCCCCACGAGCTGGTGCTGGTCAGAGGCTCCGTGCAGCTCTCCTCCTCGCCTTCCCCCCCCTCCACCTCCTCGACTTCCACCTCCTCCGTCTCCTCCCCACTCTCCTTCTCCCCGTTCTCCAAGTCAGGGGCGGAAAAAGGGGCTGGAGCGGGGGGAGGAGGGCAGGGGTCAGGGAGAGGGTTCGCCTCTCCTCCGGAGAGGCCCAGCTCCAGCCCATGCGTGGCTGGAGCTGGGCCGGGCTGCTCCCCGCTGCTGCCCATGCACGGCGCCAAGCAGTCATGCGCTGTGGTGGAGCGATCAGACGTGGTAAGGAGGTGTGGGAATGGGTGCCTGGGGGTTTGCCCTAGAGCCACCTGCCAGGTTCTCTTCCTCTGCTGCCCATGCACGGCGCCAAGCAGCCATGCGCTGTGGTGGAGCGGTTAGACGTGGTAAGGAGGAGTGGGAATGGGTGCCTGTGGGTTTGCCCTAGAGCCACCTGCCAGGTTCTCTTCCTCTGCTGCCCATGCACGGCGCCAAGCAGCCATGCGCTGTGGTGGAGCGGTTAGACGTGGTAAGGAGGAGTGGGAATGGGTGCCTGTGGGTTTGCCCTAGAGCCACCTGCCAGGTTCTCTTCCTCTGCTGCCCATGCACGGCGCCAAGCAGCCATCCGCTGTAATGGAGCGGTTGGACGTGGTAAGGAGGTGTAGAAATGGGTCCCTCCGTCGGTGGGCCTTTATTATTGGGGTGAGGGGGTCGATTATAGCTTCGGCCTTTGCTCTTTCTGTTCTCCTAGCGCGGCCAAGCAAGCCCTTGGTATTAACCCGCCCTGCTCTCCTGCTTGTGCCTTGCGTCAGATGCTATACTCAGAGCTGCACCCGCTGCTGGGCCGGGTCATTGCCAAGTCCTGGCTCGCTCCTCCTCATTATCCGCTTCCACACAAATCTGACATTCTTTGATCCATTCCGGCCTTTCCCTCACTCCCACCAGATGCTGTACTCAGAGCTGCACCCGCTGCTGGGCTGGGTCATAAAGTCAGATCAAGTCAACCTCGTTAGACAATCCGTGAGTTCCTTATTCATCCCTTACCTCCAGTTCATTTGTGTGTGTGTGTGTGTGTGTGTGTGTGTGTGTGTGTGTGTGTGTGTGTCTCTGAGTTAGCCGTTCCGGACACACCTCTCTCATGTCGCTGCCGCCCTTTCCCACTGCTCCTAAATCTCCTCTCCCTTCTTCCCCATTCTCCCCATACTTCTCCCCTCCCCCTCGCCTCTCCGCAGGTCCCTTTCTCTTTAGCTGACACCTCCCTCCCGTTAGCGCCACGTGTCGACATCTCATTGGTCGGCGCCACACAGCCGCTACCGCTGCACACCGTCTACAGTCACATGCAAAAGGCCGACCCCTCATGGGGTGCCACCGCTCTGCACGTGCTTATAGGGAAGCGCCTCCCAGTAAGTTTACTCTCTATAAACCCTGCACATGCTTATAGGGAAGCATCTTCTGGTGAGCGAGTGTATCCTGCCGCTTCTTCCTCCTCGTTGATGTTCGTTGATGTAATAAAGAATGAGCACCGTTCCGCACGCATATGTACCTTCCCCAGGTGGGCCTGCGCACGGACGAGAGGGTGCTGCCGATCAATCACGAGCTGACAGCTGTCGGCCATGTGAGGCGCGGATCCGACGGTCGACCCGCCATCTTCGCTTCGCCCAAGTTTCCCTATTTCCTGTGAGTTCTTCCCTCTTTAACGAAATGCCCCTTTCCCAAAAAACCAGTACGTCATGTGAGCGCTTTTCTTAATCATAAAGCGTCCCTTTCTTCCGGATATCTTGAATAAGCTCTCGTTACTTTCCTCGTTTACCTGTATTAACCAAATCCCACGTTTCTACCACCCCAAACCCTTGCCCTCCCTCGCCCTCTCCCCCCAACCCTCCCCTCTCCCCGTTCCCCCCGCGGCCTTCCAGCTTCCCAGAGACAAAAGCAGGCATGATCCAGAAGCTCAATCAGCGGTGGGGGGCGCTGCTGGGGTGGGGAGTGCTGCTGTCTGCTGCTGCTGTGGGCGTTATTGGACTAGCTGCGTGGAAGTACGTGTGACTTTGTGTGCATATGTGCATGGGTGTATGGGTTGCTGCTGGGGGTTGGGGAGTGCTGCTGCTATCAGCTGCTGCTGTGGGCGTTATTGGACTAGCTGTGTGGAAGTACGTGTGTGTGGCTAGGGTTGCAAAGAATGTGCGTGCTTATTGGGTGAATGGCTGGGGTGTGCTGCTGTTGGCTGCTGCTGTGGGCGTCATTGGGCTCGCTGCGTGGAAGTACGTGTTTGTGTGTGCATATGTGCATGGGTGCATGGGTTGCTGCTAGGGGGTGGGGAGTGTTGCTGTTGGCCGCTGCTGCGGGCGTTATTGGGCTCGCTGTGTGGAGTGGAAGTACGCGCGCGCGCGTGTGTGTGTGTGTGTGTGTGTGTGAGAGAGAGAGAGAGAGTGTTCATGTGTGCGTGGATGTGTGTGTGCATGCATGCGTGTAGGTGTGTAGATGTAGGTGTGTAGGTGCGTGCATGAGTGTCTGCTCATCAGTCTTTGGATCCCAGCACTCCATGACCAATCTCGTCTCGTCTCGTCTTGTCTCGTCTCGTCTCGTCTCATCTCATCTCATCTCCTCTCGTGTTTTACATTTCAGTATTGCCCACTTGTCTCCCTCATACCCCATCAGGACGTACCGCCGCCGGCAAGCGAGGCGGCAGCGGCGGCAGCAGGTGGAGCAGGCAGAGCTGGACAGATGGATGGCGATTCTCCTAGAGAGACAGCAGCAGACAGCAGGAGCAGGAGCAGTGGCAGGAGTAGCAGCAAGCGCAGGAACAGGAGCAGGAATACGGGCAGAGGCAGGGGCAGGGACAGGAGGAGCAACAGCAGGGGCAGGCACAGAATTGAGTGGGCTGGTTCAGACCTTGAATGGCGGGGCAGTAGCAGCTTCGCCTGCGGAGCTAGAGAGGAATCTGGAGAATCTGATTCGCGGTGGGGATGCGGATGAGGAGGAGGTGGTGGGGGAGGAGGTACAGAGTGGGGAGCTCTGTGTGGTGTGTCTGCATCGCAAGCGCAAGGCCGTGTTCATCCCGTGTGGCCACCGTGTGTGTTGTCTGTCGTGTTCTAGGGTTGTGAGAGTGGAGCAGGCGCTGTGTCCGATTTGCAGAGGGCAGGTTCTGGCTGCGTTTCGTGTGTATGATGCTTGAAAATACCGGTAGAGAGGAGTAGGGAGAATCTAATCTGTGCAGGACCAGGAGGAGGTGGCGGGAGAGGTGGTGGTGGGGGAGGAGGTGGTGGGGGATGTCAAAATGAGAACTACAGCGGAATGTGTTGCATTGACAGAATTGGGGTACATAACCTAACCCTAACTAGTTGTACCCCATATAGCCCAACCCACTACAGGCTATAATATTTGACACACCCCCATAGCCTAAGTGGGGAAGGCCAATCAACAACAAGCAACCTACGGTCACAAGACCAGTCAAAAGCAAGAGAAAGAAAACAAAGCTCAGGGTGGATCACAACGTCACCACCTAATCTGAGCACAAGCAAAGGGCCACAAGGCCAGTCCAAAAGTGTGCAAACAAATATATATGAGGTACAAGCAAGCAACAGACAAAGAGCACCCTACAGCAGTCAACTAGACCCAGTCTCAACGAGGCCTAACTGCAGACAAAACTAGCGGTGGTCACAAGTCTGCAGTGTTGGCCTCGGAGGCCACAAAGTCCAGACGAGCCTGTCCGCGTCTCTGCAACTCTCGAAGGAGGAAGTACCTGACGTCAATGTGCTTCACTCTGCTCTCCAGTCGAGGCTCATGACACAGGAGAATCATCGCCTTGTTGTCAGCAAACAAGGTCGGTGCAGAGCTCGGCCGCTCGCCAAGGTCAGTGAGCAAGAAGGTCAACCAGCGCAGCTCCTGTGCAGCAAGGGCTCCAGCGTAGATCTCGGCCTCTGCGGTAGAAGTCGCAACAGAGGAGGACCGAGTAGACCTCCACGAAACAGCTCCAGAACCAAGACCGAAACAGTAACCCTGTGTAGACCTCTGAGTCTCAGCGTCGTCAGCGTACGAGGAGTCACAGTGACCGGTGAGAACAACTGGCTGAGTCCCTCCAAGTACAAGCCCCATGTCTGACGTCGTGGCCAGGTACTTCGCCACCCTCTTAGCCGCCGTCCAGTGAACAGGACGGTGTCTCCCAGTCGCAACAAAGCGAGAAAGGATGCTAAGAGGGAAGGCGAGGTCCGGGCGAGTGCACGTCATCAGGTACATGAGGCAGCCCACCAGCTCTGCGTAGGGACCACTGGGCTCGAACGGCTCGTCAGGAAAAGGCCCAGTGAGTCTGTGGTCTACAGCAAGAGGAGTGGGTGTGGGAGAGGAGTGCTGAAGCCCGAACCGCTGAAGGACCTGCTGCACCATGTGTGACTGAGTCAGAGTGATGGTGCGAGCGGCTCTGTCCCTGGAGATCTGCAAGCCAAGGTAGCGGCGCAGTTCCCCAAGGTCAGTGCAGGTGTGTCTCTTCTGCAGTTCGGACTTCACCTCCGCCAGTGCAACAGTGTCGGCTGTGGCGAAGACCAAGTCGTCAACGTAGACCAGAACAAAGAAAGGTGTGCGCCCACGACGAACAAACAGCGACGGGTCGGCGGAGGACGGCTGAAAACCAAGGTCGGAAAGAGTAGAACGAAGAGTGTCGTGCCACTCGCGGGGTGCCTGGCGGAGACCGACAACCGGTCGTCTGAGGCTCCACTGGGTCCCAGGCGGGAAGGTGCCAGTGAAGCCCGGAGGACGACGCAGCCAGATCTCCTCGTGTAGGCGGCCCTGCAGGAACGCTGTGGAGAAGTCGAGGGAGTGTAGCTCGTAGTCTCTCTGCGCCGCTACGTGAAGCAACACCCGAAGAGTGGTCATCTTCGGGGTGGGCGCAAAGGTCTGAAAGAAGTCAACCCCCTCGCGCTGACTAAACCCTCTAGCCACGTAACGTGCCTTGAAGACTGGGGGAGATCCCGACGGCCGCTTCACCTTGAAGATCCACATGCCGTCGACTATGTTCGCCCCTGGTGGGGGAACGTCGTCAACGTAAGTGCCTGTGGACCTGTAGGAGGCCATCTCTGCGTCCATGGCAGCTCGCCACTGAGAGGCCCAAGGCCCTGACACTGCCTCAGCGTAAGTGCGAGGAGTAGGTATGTCAGGAGCGTCGGGGTCACCCTCAGGAGCAAGGAGCATGGCACAGAGATGAGGCGAAGCGGCTGCTAAGAACTCTAGCTCAAACTGTCTGTCCTCTAGGACGTCACAGCCAAGGGCAGACACACCCCCGGCGGACAGAGGACGGACAGGAGGAGCTGCCACAACACGAGTGGCGTAGTCAAGGCGACGCGTGGCAGTAAAGTCAGTGACAGCGGCAGTGAGGACTGCGACAGAGGAAGGAGAGGCACGAGGGTCTGTAACAAGAGAGGCGAGAACGCGAGAGAGAGTGGGACGGTAAGTGCGGTAGTAGTCAGTGACAGGAGTGGACAGGGCGGCAGTGAGGGACGACTCCGGAGGACGAGGAAGAACAGACGGAGGAGAACGAGGAGGGCTAGGGTGAAACAAGGCGGCACGGAGGTCAGTGACGGGGGACGAGGGACGAGCACGAGGAGAACGAGGAGCCCAAGTGTGGGCAAGTGGAGAGGGAGAGGGGGGAGAGCGAGAACGAGGGAACACAGCCGGAGCTGAGTCCGGAGGAGGAAACGTAGGACCGAACACAGGAGGAGAGGAGGGGAGACCAAGGGCCCGAAGGCCAGAAACAGGGGCCGGAGACTGCTCCGGCTGCTGCTGCTGCTGCTGCTGCTCCCGCTGCAACTCCAACCTCTCACGCTCCACCCGCTGCTGAACCTCCAACCTCTCGCGCTCCAAACGCTGCTGCTCCTCACGCTCAAGACGAAGACGGGCCTGGTGTCGAGTCGGGTAGGAGTGAGGAGGAGGAGTGAGGTCAGGAGAGGAAGACGAAGAACCGGCTCCACCCTCGACAGCGCCCGGCTGAGCACCCCCAGAGCGAGTGCCCCCCGCTGCAGCACGACCAGCACCTGTGGAAGGCAAACCCGCACCCCCAGTCGTGGTGCGCCCAGTGGCACCAGCACCAGCCCCAGACTCTCCAGCTCCAGAAACACGACCAGCTCCAGCACCACCACCGACTCCAACACGCTCGGGACGTGCAGCTGCGGCAGGTGCACGCTCAGCTCCAACTCCAACACCCCCAGAACCGGCACCGCCAGAGCCCTCACCTCGAGCACCAACACCCTCAGAGTCCGCAGTGGCCGGGAGAGGAAGCGCCGACGGCTGCTGCGGAGGCTGTGAGGACGACTGTGGGGAAGGAGGAGAGACCTGGGGGGGTACCGAGGGAGGGGGGGTAGCCTGTGACACACCTGACGGAGCGGGAACCGGGGGGGGTACCGGAGGAGAGGGAGCGGGAGGAGGAGGAGCTGGGGCGAGGAAGAGGGGAGGGGGGGGAACCGGGAGACCTCGACAGGGGTACCGGACGTAGTAGGGGACGGACTCGTCGAAACTGACGTCACGAGAGTCAAAGAACCGGTGGGAGGGAGGGTGGTAAAAGGTGAAGTCAGAGGAGGCCTCAGGGAAACCAAGGAAGACACAGGGGACGCCGCGAGGTGAGAGCTTGTCCGCAGAGGTGTCGCGGACAAGCGCCAAGCAGCCCCAGACACTAAACCTCGACGCAACACCAGGGGACCCTGTCCAAAGACTGGTCGGTGAAGCCCCTGGCCGAGAGACGCGAGGCCAGAGGTTCAGCTGGTGAGCGGCGTACCGAGCCGCGTAGGGCCACAGAAAATGGGGCGCGCGGGCGTGGATCATGGAGGTGCGGGCAATCTCCATGACCAGGCCTAGCCGGCGCTCAGCAACCCCATTCTGCTGTGGAGAGTCTGGAAGAGTCCAGGACTGGGTGATGCCCTGCTCAGCACAGAATCTGGCGAGAATGCCGGAGCGAAACTCACCCCCACGGTCGGAGTGGAGACAACTGACACGACGACGACGAGTACTCTCGGTGGCGAGCAGCCACCGGATCAACGTGGAAGTCACGTCGGACTTCTTCGCCAAAGGGAACACGGTGGTGTACCGAGAGTAGTCGTCAACGACCACTAGAAAGAAGCTCTCTCGCTCAGGTCCAAGCCGGGAAGCGGGGCCCCAGACGTCTAAGTGGAGTGTCTCAAAGGGCTCGGAGGCTGGACGAAGGGAGGAGGAGTGAGGAGTGGCGCGCAGCCGACCCTGGACACAAGGACCGCACGGAGGAGCGGGGGACGGCGGGAGCGGCGGGAGGTCGCGGGGGAGGCCTAAGACAAGACGCTGACTGGACATAGCGCGGAGACGAGAGAGGGACGGGTGACCAAGGCGGTGGTGCCAGAGGAGGACAGGGTGGGACAGCGACCGACACGAGCACGACGCAGCCACTAGACCTGGCACAGCTACCTGACTGGACCTGGCTACCTGGTGGGACGGGGGAACCGGACGGGTGTCGGTGTGGAGGGTGTACAGACCAGAGCCCGGCTCCTGACGAAAAGTGGCCAGAGGGGCGTACGTGTCACCGTCCACACAGACTGCAGTGTCACCAGAAGGCTCAAACCAGACCCCGACGTGCTGTCTCGCCAGAGGAGCCACACCAACCAGGTTCCTAGAGAAAGTAGGAACGTGGAGGCCGGTCAGAGAACCGGAAGGGGCAGCTGGGCACGGGAGGGTAGTGGCGTGAGTCGCAATGACCGGTCCCGAAGAGGGATCGGCCAGTGCTACAGAAACCGGCGCCGAGAGTGGAGTAAGAGTCGTGCTGTCGCGGAAGAAGCACTGCGTCGCTCCGGAGTCCAGTGTGAAGGAGAGCGACGCGTCCGCCGAGGGAGCACCTGTACTAGTAGCTAGACAGGATCCTACACCAGCACCTACTCTAGCAACAGGCAAAGATCCTACGCTAGGTACAGGCAAGTAAACAGATCCAGCAGCACTATAGTCAACATCAGCATACATCGCATAAGACCTAGCATCATCCATAGACATATCAAACACAGCAACACCACGAGCAAGGAGTGGTCCCCAGCGCGGTGGCGGGGGAGCGGAGGGGCCGTGGTGCAGGACGTACAGGTCGTCGAGACGGCTGAAGCAGCGTGCAGCAGAGTGGTCAGGGCGGCCGCAGTACGTGCCCCTGCGCGGACCCGTCAGGATCCAGTACTCACAGGGACCAACGTCGCGGCCGGCCGAGCGGGGTCCCCGACTAGAAGGGGCACCACTGCGCCCAGTGCTCGGGGGGCCCGTAGGTCTCCACTGCTGCGGGGGGCCCCACTGCTGCGAAGGGCCCCACTGCTGCTGAGTGCCCCACTGCTGGGGCTGCTGCTGAGGCGGACGCTGCTGCTGGCCCTGGCGCTGCTGCTGCTGTCCCTGCCGCTGCTGCTGTCCAGGCGGTGGCAGCTGCGGAGGAGTCTGCTGCTGCTGCTGCGGAAACCCCTCACCACCGTCTAGAGGAGAGCCGTCAGGTCCCGAGTCACCCCCGCCGCCACCCCCGCCACTAGTACTACCGCCACCGCCGCCACCCGCAACACCCCCAGAACCCCCGCCGCCCTTCCCTCCCTTCTTGCCGGACTTGCCACGTTTCTGTCCGCCAGAGACAGAAACGGCCGCCGTCTCCTCAGAGGCAGAAGACGCGGCAGTGGCAAGCGAGGCAGTGAAGGTGGGAAGCTGTGGTACCGCACACCCCTCAAAGAGACGAGGAGGAGGCGCGGAAGAGGCGGAGGCAACAGCGAGGAGGTTACTCTCGATCTTCGAGAGAGCGGTCTCAAGAAGATCGATAGTAAGCTCAGTGGGGTGCTTCAGGAGAAGCGCGTCGCGGGCTGTGGCTAGACGGTCAGGGAGGCGAGTGACTAACCAGTGAATAGTGAGCCACATGGGGGGGGGTGCAAGGGCAAGCTGTTCCTCAGTGCAAGCGGCCTTGAAGCGAGCTTCAAGGGAGCGCAGGTGGGTAGCGAGGTCAGCGACAGTCTCAAAGGAGGCGAGGTCAGGGTAGATAAAGGGGACGAGGAGGCGGCTGAGGGAGGCAGAGGAGGGAGTGGAGTAGCGAGCAACAATAGCAGTGTAAAGGTCTGCAGCAGACTCGACCTGAGTGAAGTGGACGGCCTCAGTCGGCGGGAGAAGGTCGGTCAGGGCGAGGCAGGCAGCAGCGTCACGAGACTCCCACACGTCACGAGCGAGGAACCGGCGCTGGTACTCAGCCTCCTGCTCGGAAGTAGGCGGTGGGGTAGTGGGCAGCGGTGTAGGCTGCGGCGGGGCGGGCAGAGCACCGGACGCGTGCGCAAACAGGTGCACGCCATCCTGACGCTGGCCCAGCGCCACCTCAGGGTCGAAACGGAGCACGCGAGACGTCGCCATGAGGGGCGAGAACAAGCGATAGCGGCCGCCAGCCGCGAGAGGAGGAGGAGAGGGAGGTGAGTGCGAGGCGGGTGCGCGCAGGCGGGGCGCGTTCTGGCTGGGCGCGGGGCGGCGGGGCGCGCGCTGGCGGGGCGCGCTCCGGCGCGGCGCGCTGGCTGGCGTGGCGCGCGGGCGCGGCGCGCTGGCGGGCGGCTAGGCAGGGCGCGCGCTGGCGGGGCGCGCTGGCGTGCGCGCTGGCGGGGCCCGCTGGCGCGGCGCGCTGGCGGGCGCGCTAGCGGGCGCGTTGGCGTGCGTGCTGGCAGGCGAGCTGGCGGGCTCGCTGGTGCGCCCGCTGGCGGGCGCGCTGGAGGGCTGGCGTGCAAGCGGGATGGCGCGCGGGCTGGCTGGCGCGCTGGCGCGCTGGCGCGCTGGCTGGCTGGCGGGCTAGCGCGCTGGTTGGCAGGCGCGCTGGCTGGCTGGCGCGCTGGCTGGCTGGCGCGCTGGCTGGCTGGCGCGCTGGCTGGCTGGCGCGCTGGCTGGCTGGCGCGCTGGCTGGCTGGCGCGCTGGCTGGCTGGCGCGCTGGCTGGCTGGCGCGCTGGCTGGCTGGCGCGCTGGCTGGCTGGCGCGCTGGCTGGCTGGCGGGCTGGCTCGCTGGCGTGCTGGCTGGCTGGCGGGCGCGCTGGCTAAGGGCGGGGAGGGGAGGGGCGCGCCGGCTGGGGCGTGGGGTAGGGCGCTGGCGGGCTGGCGGGGCGCAGTGGTAACCCTAGTGGTAGGGACGGGCGGGCCTAGGGCTAGGAGCGCTAACCTACTGCTGATACCATGTCAGAATGAGAACTACAGCGGAATGTGTTGCATTGACAGAATTGGGGTACATAACCTAACCCTAACTAGTTGTACCCCATATAGCCCAACCCACTACAGGCTATAATATTTGACAGGGGAGGAGGTGGTGGGGAAGGAGGTACAGAGTGGGGAGCTCTGTGTGGTGTGTCTGCATCGCAAGCGCAAGGCCGTGTTCATCCCATGTAGCCGCCGCGTGTGTTGTCTGTCGTGTTCAAGGGTTGTAAGAGTGGAGCAGTCGCTGTGTCCGATTTGCCGCGGGCAGGTCCTGGCTGCGTTTCGTGTGTATGATGCTTGAGTAACCACGTCCTTACCTATGTTGTGCTAACATGGATTGGAGATTTCATGGGTTATGAGGGTGGAGCAGTCGCTGTGTCCCATTTGCACAGGGCAGGTTCTGGCTTCGTTTCGTGTGTATGATGCTTGACTTTTGAGTCAACTCAAACTTTTAAGATTTCTTTTGAGTGGACTCAAAAGTCAGCGGCTCGTTAAAATGTCACACAGTAGCTGTGTCTCATTTGTTGAAATACCGTATTCTCCCGGACATAACACCCTAGGGTAGATCTAAAAATACAGGAAAAAAAGGGGGGTGTCTTCTCATAGGAAAAAGCTACATAATACTTGGGTGCATATATATGGTATATTTTAGTGTTAGAGTCTTTTATTTTAGAGAAGCTGAGTGTTTCCATGGGCTTTTTAACATCACATGTTGAGGCGCGAATGTCAATTTCGACGCGAACGTCATCACTCCCTCGAAAATGTCATTTGGCACCTCTCTGGCCACCTGCAGCGGAAGATTCGCCAGCACGTGGCGACAGCGTAATAGTGGGCGGGGGGGAATCTCGGCAGATTTGATGTGAAAGGACCGGGAAATCTCATCGAGCGAGGGATTTTCTCGGTATGCTCCTTTACTTGCACCTATTCGTTAACAGTTATAATATAGAATCAATAAGAAAAGGGGGGTGTTGTACAAAATCATCCAAAAAGGGGGGTATAGTGAAATCGAGGTCGCCCATAGCACCCACCCCGCACAAGCTACCCGGGGGTGCTCTATCATGGGGGGGTGTTTTGTCCGGGAGAATACGGTAGGTAGTGCTATATTAATTCAGTTTTGTGTGCATGATGCTTTGTGTTCATTCAGTTGCGCGTGTTGTTCTGGGATGGTGGTGAGGGAGGAGGTGCAAGGTGGGGAGTCCTGTATGGAGTGTTTGCATTGCAAGCACAAGACGATGCTCATTCCATGTTCATTCCAAGTACAGAGTGGGGAGGAGCTCTGTGTGGTGCGTCCGCACGTCAAGTACACTGATGAGAGTGGAGAAGTCATTCCCATTTGTCACAGGTAGGGCAGGCTCTAGCTGTCTTAAGAGTGTATGGCTCTTGATTAAAATACGATACAACGTAAGAAAGTATGTAGTGCCAACATGGTTACTGTTCTGTATTGTAAATGTTTCTGGGGAATATGGCAAGAAGAAATTTCATATTTCGGGAATATGGCAAGATGAAACATTACATCTCCGGACTAAATCGGTAACATGCCAAGGTGACTCGCACTGATTTCCGTAATTTAGTGGATCAGACACGACCAGAAGAAAGAATCAGTCACCACACCATAAAGAGCGGAAGTTATAGGGATCTGGTCGCCTGGTTGATGATGGAAGAAATACCGGTAAAAGCAGAACAGGGAAACACATACAACAGAGGAAAAGAAAATCAGAGCTTGTCAGAATAATATATAACTTTATATATTGTTCTATAACTGCCTGTGGTGTAGAATACTGTAGTTATAGCCTTTCTAGTTGGTGGTGCACCATTCTTGCTTTTGCTTGCCTATTTGTACTGTTTTCTCTATAATGAACCACCTCTTTTGTTGGCCAACTTTCTCCTTTCGACACTTGCCTAGGCTGTTCCTAAACCTAAGTCCTAGGTAATCTCAACATGTTATCAGAGCTACTAGATCCTCGGCCCTAAGATTTTTTTTTTTTTTTTTTTTTTTTTTTTCGCTCTCATGGCGAGCGCCTCGCTGGTCCGTTGCGCCACGCTTGCCTCGCCGCGCTCTCGCCGGCAAAATTTCGGCTTTCTGTCCTGCTGCGACCCGAAGCGCCGGCGCCTGCGCCAGCGCGTGCGCCAGCAACCTGCGCTCGCGCGTGCGCTAACGACCAGCGCCCTCGCGTGCGAAAGTGCCAGCGCGTGCGCCGGCGACCTGCGCCAGCCCGTGCATCAGCGGCCAGCGCCCGCGCGTGCGCCAGCGACCTGCGCAAGCGCCAGCGACCTGCGCCAGCGCGTGCGCCAGCGCCAGCGCCTACGCAACACAGCCGCCAGCACCGGCACCAGCGCCTTCTGCGAGCGCCAGCGCCAGCAGCAGCGTACGCCGCCTCCCCTCCCTTCCGCGACTCTCGTCGTGGGGGGGGGGGGGGGGGGGGAGGAGGCGCGAGGGTGGTTGACGCCTCTCTGTTCGTTGCTGCGCCACACCGCTAACCCGCCACACGCCGTCCCTTCTCTCTCCCTGCTGCGCGTGCAGCAGTTGGGGGGGGAGGGTTTGGGGTGGCGGGTGTGAGCAAGAAGCTGCCGCCCCTCCTCTCTCTCTCACTGCCGCACGTGCCGCTGTGGGGGGGAGAGTGAGGGGGCGACGGAAGTCAGCCGGTCATCTGCTGCTGTCGCCCGCTGCTGACGTGGCACCTCCAGCTGCCGCCCCTGCCGCCACCTGCCTTTGCTGCCTTTGCTTCTGTTGCCTGCTGCTGGGGCCTGCAGGTGCTGCCGTCGAGCCGCTGCTGCCCTGTTGCACGTTGCAGCCACATAGCCTGCTCCTCAGGCGAACTGCGGCCCCTACACCTGCTTTTGTTTCTGCCTTGGCTGAGGGTTGGCTACAGCTGTATCTGCCACTTCTGCACCGGCTATCACTGCTTTTGCCTGCCACTGTTTCTTCCGCTGCACTCTGTCTGGTGTACCCCATTGTAAGGGCGTTGATTGCACATTCTTCCCTACAGGCACTTATGGGGGCGTGTTAGAATAATATATAACTTTATATATTGTTCTATAACTGCCTGTAGTGTAGAATACTGTAGTTATAGCCTTTCTAGTTGGTGGTGCACCATTCTTGCTTTTGCTTGCCTATTTGTACTGTTTTCTCTACAATGAACCACCTCTTTTGTTGGCCAACTTTCTCCTCTCGACACTTGCCTAGGCTGTTCCTAAACCTAAGTCCTAGGTAATCTCAACAGAGCTTACACCAGAGGAAACAATTACAGTATCAAACTGGATGGTCAGCTTCTGCACCAGAAAGAGCAGGAGACAATGAGATTTGGGAGCGTGATTGATGGTGACAGAGAAGAACAACATTGGAAACAATTTCCAAGGTAGATGGTCTTGGGTAAAGGTAGTATAGTGCCATGGCCAGTAAAGTGCAATGTAGAATGTAGAATGCAGAATGCATAACACAGAATGCAGAATGCAGAGTGCAGCAGGTTGACTTAATGATTAACCACTCTCGTAGATACAAGCGTCACGTCTGGACCCGTGGGCATATGTTGAGGCGGGATTATGCTCAAGGGGCAATTGTCATCTTCGTACCACATGGCCCGCGCACAACCCGTACCACCACCGATGTTCCACACTTGGTAGGTCGTCCTGAAATTCCCTGCCCCCTCCGGCAGCAGAGTGCAGCCCTTTTTGGGGCGGAAGGTGTAGGGCTTGGATGCCCTGTCTTTGGCATTACGATCCTTGATGAGTGTGATGCTGATGGCAACCACTTGGTCAGGTGAACCTGAGAATGGATGGCACAAGCACAAGGGGCAACAGGGAGATCACTTTTGAGAAATCTCGAAGGTGCAGGTTGGGCTTGGATGCCTTGCCTCTGGCGGTACGCTCCTGTGTGAGTGTGATACTGACAGCAAGCAGTTCATCAGGTGAATCTAAGAATGGATGGCAGAAGCAGAAGGGAACGGGGAGCAAGGGCGGGAGGGAACAAGGAGAAAGTGTGATGGATGGCACAAGCAGAAAGAGACGCGGAGCAAGGATGGGGAGAAACGTGGCGAAAAACTCAGAGTTTGCAACGTGAGATGCTCTCAGGGTGCGATGCTCTCAGGGTGAGATGCTCTCAGGGTGCGATGCTCTCAGGGTGCGATGCTCTCAGGGTGAGATGCTCTCAGGGTGCGATGCTCTCAGGGTGCGATGCTCTCAGGGTGCGATGCTCTCAGGGTGCGATGCTCTCAGGGTGCGATGCTCTCAGGGTGCGATGCTCTCAGGGTGAGATGCTCTCAGGGTGCGATGCTCTCAGGGTGAGATGCTGTCAGAGTCATGATTCGTCACCCTGCCTTCCACCACGTCAGACCTCATCAAATGCAGAGGAGAATGCCGCATCTGATCAACGTAGAGAAGAAAATAGGGCACTCTTGCATCTTACCTTGGCACTCTTGCGTCTTACCCTGGATGCATTCTGTTGGGGTCATCCCGTAGCCCTCAGGGCACTCGCAGTACGGCACATCGGCATTGCTGGTTGTAAGGATGGTTTTGCAGGTGGCGCCAGTAGGGCATGTGCCACAGGGTGAGTCTGCGCAACACAGCACGCAAGGCAGACACAGACGGTACGAGTACAGCAGAGGGATGGCGAAATGAGCAAGGGCAAATGGGCATGAGCATGTGCAAGGCCAGCTAAACACAAAAGTGGAGTATATTCTCTGTGTGGTGAGGCGATTTTTGAGTCCACAAATAGATGAGCAGGGCAAAGGGTTATCTAAACGCAAATGTGGAGTGGGAGTGCGCCAATTGATAGAGATAGTGGAGGTAGAGATTGAGTGCGGTGCGGATGGGCTGGGTTGGGTGCACAGGAAGCTAAAAGCCATGCTTACTCCATTTGCACGGGCGAACTCCATCGGTGTTCACACCAAACCCCCTCCGGTTCGCAACCCATCTCGCTGCAAGCCGTGTCTGATGTGAGCGTGTGGAAGGGTGGGGTTGAGGAGATGGGGAGAAGGATGGGGTGGAAGAGAGGGAAAATAGAAAAAAAAAGGGGGGGAGGGGGTTGAAGCTTGTCTAAAGAGAGAAATACAGGTGGAGAATGCATACCTAACTACAACATTGCAACGAATATCTATCCCTCCATGCTAGACCATGTCGCCACGGCAACTCACCAACGCAACGCAGTTGGTCGGGAAGCATCCCGAAACCCAAGTCGCACTCGCAGGTTGCATCCCCGTTCTCCTTCTTCACACACTTGCCATTGGGCCCACAATCCACCGCAGCACATTTGTCTGCACAAAAAGAGACCCGGGCAAGTGGAAGGATTTTATCATAACCAAAAGATATCACACCCAGATCTTGAAAATCGCACAAAGACACATACACACAAAGATCAGGAGAGAGCCAGAGAGAGCAGGAGAGAGGAGAGAGAAGGACACGAGAAGGAAAGAGAAGGAGGCACCGCAAGGCGTACCTACGCAAGCGCCATTGATTTGAGCAAAGCCCTAGTTGCATTCACAGGTGATGCCCTTGCCATCACTCGTAGGGGTGCATGTGGAGTTGCTCGGACACTTGGTGTTCTCGCAGGTGACGTCTGGCATGGGGGGCAGCAGGGATGTGTGCGGCACACAGCGGTGAAACCACACCACATGCGTGATTTGATGGAGGAATGCATGAAGGCAAGGTGGCAAGGAGTATGGAAGGCAAGGAGTATGGAAGGCAAGGAGTATGGAAGGCAAGGAGTATGGAAGGCAAGGAGTATGGAAGGCAAGGTGGCTTGATGGCATGATGGCAAGGAGGCAAGGAGTATGGATCACCATTTACACTAAAATACGATCTAGCATACAAGTTTAAACCAGGCTCACCATTTTCATTTCATGGAGTTTGTCTCGCCGTCTCAGTAACACTCAGGTTGATGGACATCAGACCTCCGCAGCCCACCTGTTTACTAATAACAACATCTGAAGGCAAGGTGGCAAGGAGTAAGGAAGGCAAGGTGGCTTGATGGCATGATGGTAAGGTGGCATGGGAAGGTGGTAAAGTGGTATGATAATAAAGAGGCATGATGGTAAGGTGACATGATGGCAAGGAGGAGGGAAGGCAAGGTGGGATGAGAACAAGGTGGCACGATGGTAAGGTAGCATGGTAAGGTGGTAAAGTGGAAAGGTGGAAAGGTGGAAAGGTGGAAAGGTGGCACGCACCAGGCTGGCAGGAAACAGAAGCCCATCGGGCGACCTTCTTTATGCTGCAAGGACGTCAGAAACACGTTCAGATGAGACACGTGAGAAACACGTTCAGATGAGACACGTGAGAAACACGTTCAGATGAGACACGTGAGAAACACGTTCAGATGAGACACGTGAGAAACACGTTCAGATGAGACACGTGAGAAACACGTTCAGATGAGACACGTGAGAAACACGTTCAGATGAGACACGTGAGAAACACGTTCAGATGAGACACGTGAGAAACACGTTCAGATGAGACACGTGAGAAACACGTTCAGATCAGGCATTATTTGAGGTGTTAGGAACACGATACGAACACGATAACACACTCTCATCATCGGCTGCTGCCCCACCACCCACGTGCCCCCACCACCCACGTGTCCCCACCACCCACGTGTCCCCACCCACCCCCAAGACCCACCTGGGAACATTGAAGAATTTTCGCAGAATGGAATAATGGGGCTTTAGCACCTCACCCAACGCCTTGCCCTTGCAGCCGGGGTTGGCAAAGAACCTGACATGCCTACACACCGCACCCACCCGCTGCTTCCCACTGCTGCCCTTCAAGGGTCTCCCATGCCACCACACCTTCACGTGCTGCTGCGCCTTGTGCGCTGCTGGCGGAAGGGTGAAGCAGCGGACCGCCCCCCCTGCACCGTCGAAGCTGACGGGCAGGCTGACGCCCGGCACCGTGATCTGCGTCGCCACCTGCACGCTCGCGCCCACCGTTCCAACGCTGCTGCCGCTACTGCCCGTCACTCCCACCCCCACCCCCGTCGCCACCTGCACGTCGCCACCTGCACGCCCGCCTCCACCACACCGCCGCCGCCAACGCCTGTGCTGCCAACCTCCACTGCCCCCACCGTCCCGACGCCTGGAGCAGCGAGGTGAGAGGAAGCAGATGGGTGAGAGGGAGCAGATGGGTGAGAGGGAGCAGATGGGTGAGAGGGAGCAGATGGGTGAGAGGGAGCAGATGGGGGAGAGGGAGCAGATGGGTGAGAGGGAGCAGATGGGGGAGAGGGAGCAGATGGGTGAGAGGGAGCAGATGGGTGAGAGGGAGCAGATGGGTGAGAGGGAGCAGATGGGTGAGAGGGAGCAGATGGGTGAGAGGGAGCAGATGGGTGAGAGGGAGCAGATGGGTGAGAGGAAGCAGATGGGTGAGAGGGAGCAGATGGGTGAGAGGGAGCAGATGGGTGAGAGGAAGCAGATGGGGGAGAGGAAGCAGATGGGGGAGAGGAAGCAGATGGGGGAGAGGAAGCAGATGGGGGAGAGGAAGCATATGGGTGAGAGGAAGCAGATGGGGGAGAGGAAGCAGATGGGGGAGAGGAAGCAGATGGGGGAGAGGGAGCAGATGGGTGAGAGGAAGCAGATGGGGGAGAGGAAGCAGATGGGGGAGAGGGAGCAGATGGGTGAGAGGGAGCAGATGGGTGAGAGGGAGCAGATGGGTGAGAGGAAGCAGATGGGTGAGAGGGAGCAGATGGGTGAGAGGGAGCAGATGGGTGAGAGGGAGCAGATGGGTGAGAGGGAGCAGATGGGTGAGAGGGAGCAGATGGGTGAGAGGGAGCAGATGGGTGAGAGGGAGCAGATGGGTGAGAGGGAGCAGATGGGTGAGAGGGAGCAGATGGGTGAGAGGGAGCAGATGGGTGAGAGGGAGCAGATGGGTGAGAGGGAGCAGATGGGTGAGAGGGAGCAGATGGGTGAGAGGGAGCAGATGGGTGAGAGGAAGCAGATGGGTGAGAGGGAGCAGATGGGTGAGAGGGAGCAGATGGGTGAGAGGAAGCAGATGGGTGAGAGGGAGCAGATGGGTGAGAGGGAGCAGATGGGTGAGAGGGAGCAGATGGGGGAGAGGGAGCAGATGGGTGAGAGGGAGCAGATGGGTGAGAGGGAGCAGATGGGTGAGAGGAAGCAGATGGGGGAGAGGGAGCAGATGGGGGAGAGGGAGCAGATGGGTGAGAGGGAGCAGATGGGGGAGAGGGAGCAGATGGGAGAGAGGGAGCAGATGGGGGAGAGGGAGCAGATGGGTGAGAGGGAGCAGATGGGTGAGAGGGAGCAGGTGGGTGAGAAGAACTGTCGACGTGAGAGGAGAATGAGTTGTGAGAAAGTGCAGTCGAGTTTAAAACGAGAAAGAACGAGGATAATGGGTTGTGAGTGAGTGCAGCCGACTCACCGCAGATGACGGCAAGAACGAGCAGCGGAAGCAGCGCGGCAGGAAATTTGACCATAATGCCTGCTGTTCAGGTCGGTGATTCTTTTGCGACAGTGTCAGCTGGGTAACTCTTTCGCGGCGGTGTTGTTCGTGTCAGCTGGTAACCCTTTCGCGATCATCCCAAAAATTGTTTCGAGAGGGTTGGGGTAGCATGGCATGAAGCATGTAGCATGGCGATCATCCCAAAATTTGCCGAACCTACACAAATGTAAAGAAGGTAGCATGTACAAGTTTTGGTAGTGGCTACTGTGTGTAGACTTTGAAGACAGAGCCAAACCAAAATGTTCGAGCGTACATTGTAGGTTGGGTTCCAAACCTACAATGGACCTACCAGGCCTGCACTTCCTCCGAACTTGGTCAATATATTCAGTATAGTGTTCGACGAATACAAGTCGTTTTGTGTTAGAAGCCCTGTTTTATAGCTCCCGATTTACCACAAAAGGTCACTAATAAATTCGAAAACGTACCACTCGCACCAAGAACGCTGCAGGAGCAAAATTCGGCCACCAAAAAACAAGAACCGTCGATGATCTTAATTGACGGTTACGATCGATTCTGAGCGCTGATTTGGTAACCTAGTCAGCTGGAATCGTAACCGTCGATCTGACGTTTTTCGAACGGTTACGATCGGACGAAAGTTTTCTTAGCTGGAAACAGAACCGTCGATCTAAACTTCGCTGGATGGTCGAAATTTGTTGAGATTCCCAAGAGGTTGGAATCTCACCCGTCGATCTCAACCAAGTTTGGATGGCTACGATTGGACGTGAGATGTGATCTGGTTGGAATGTCATCCGTCGATTAACTTCTATTCAAACGCCACGATCGAGAAATGAAAGAACAAGATAATGCTACTCAACTTCCGATTGGTTCAAGCCCAGATTTCGGCGTAGACACACACACATCACTGAGTACATCCAACCCCAACCTTCGTCTCCTCTCATTTCTCAGCTTCACTGAGACAGCTCTCTTGCTTGGAGAAAGTCCCTCCCACCAGCAACCCTCCTACCGCCAAGCGAACCCTTCCTTCACAACTCCCCCCTCCGACCTGCCTCCGTTCCTCACTTCAGCACCTTACCCACTCCCCCCTGCTGCCGTCGCACTCGTTTCAACCGGTATCGGGGTCGGCAACATGCTCGCCCGGGGTGGGCGTGTTCAGGGATTAAGAGAACTGCCCAGTGCCCGTCGGCGCCGACTGCGCTTCGCTCGTGCGCCGGCTGCGCGACGTGGCGTGCATGTTCGGTGCGGTGCGGAGCGTGCGCGCGTACGGGAATCCCGAGGAGGTGCATCCGCGCATGATGGGGAAGATGGGCGCGTGCGGCGTGGACGTGGCGGCGGTGGCGGCGGGCAAGGAGATGGCGGACAATATCGGACGCGCTGCTCTTCGCCCTCGGTGGCGCCGTTGTTACTACATTAAGCATTGCATTACTTGTTCTCTTTCTTGTATGTGTTGGTGGCGCCTGTCTTTTCAGAATCACTAGGCAAGAATGATTGAACTAGGAGAAGTTTGGGTACAAATATGAAACCCTAGTTGGGGTTGTACCCCATATTGGCTACCCCACTACAGCCTACAAGCATAATACAGTTTAACACACCCCCATAGGCAAAGTGGGGGAGAACAAAGGGTCACAAGACCAGTCCAGCAAAGCAAAGCAAAGCCCAGGGTGGATCACAACGTCACCACACTCCGAGCACAAGTAAAGGCCACAAGGCCAGTTCACATGCAGTGCTAGATATAGTACAAGACAAGCAACACAGTGATCAAAACCTAGCAAGCAAGCAACAAGATATATATAAAGTACAGTACAAAGAATGTCAAGCAGTGAGCAAGTGAGGAAACGTGGACACAAGGCCTAAAGAAGTACAGTGCCGCTGATGATCACTAGGCGGGAGCGCCTTGGTGAAGATATCAGCAGTGTTGGCCTTCGAGTCCACGTACACAAGCCGAAGCTGACCGCGCTGCTGAAGCTCTCGAGCAAGAAAGTAGCGAAGAGCAATGTGCTTCGTCCTGTGCTCCAGTCTGTGCTCCTGACACAAGGCAAGAGCCGCCTTGTTGTCACCGTACAGAACTGGCGGAGAACTAGGCCGCTCTCCCAAGTCAGTCAGCAGGTAGGTGAGCCAGCGTAACTCCTGTGCAGCCATGGCTGTGGCGTAGATCTCAGCCTCACAACTAGAGCCGAGAACAGAGGAAGAGCGGGTGGACCGCCACGAGACAGAACCAGAGCCAAGGCTGAAGGTGTAACCCTGTGACGACCGCTGCGTAGCCAGGTCGTCCACCCAAGAGGCGTCCGAGTGACCAGTGAGGACAACTCTGTCGCGTCCTCCAAGCACCAGCCCCATGCCTGATGTACTGCACAAGTAACGCAGCACCCTCTTAGCAGCCTCCCAGTGCTCTCGCCTGTGTCTCCCAGGCGCAACGTAACGAGCAAGGATGCTAAGAGGGTACGCAAGGTCAGGTCGCGTGCAAGTCATCAGGTACATGAGGCAGCCTACAAGCTCTGGGTACGGGCCACTCGGCTCTACGGACTCGTCCGAAGGTGGAGCTGAGAGTGAGTGGCTGGTAGCCAGAGGTGTGGCCTGTGGTGAGGAGAACTGGAAGCCGAAGCGCTGAAGGACCTGCTGCACCATGTGTGACTGAGTCAGGGTGATGGTGCGACGGGCTCTGTCCCGGGTGATCTGCAAGCCAAGGTAGCTACGCAGTTCACCCAGGTCAGTGCAGGTGTGTCTCTTCTGCAGCTCCGACTTCACACGAGCGAGTGCCTCAGTGTCAGCAGTAGCAAAGACCAAGTCGTCGACGTACACGAGGATGTAGAACGGCGGCAGCGACGTGTCAGTGCGCAGAAACAGCGACGGGTCAGCAGTAGACGGCGCGAACCCAAGAGCCGCAAGAGTAGTCCTCAGTGTGTCGTGCCACTCACGTGGCGCCTGGCGGAGACCGTAGACTGGCCGGCGGAGACTCCACTGGGTACCAGGGGGAAACGACCCAGTAAAGCCAGGTGGGCGGCGCAGCCAGATCTCCTCGTGCAGGCTGCCCTGCAGGAACGCTGTGCTGAAGTCAAGAGAGTGAAGCTCGTAGTCACGCTGAGCAGCAACGTGCAGCAAAACCCGAAGAGTGGTCATCTTCGGGGTGGGGGAGAAGGTCTGGAAGAAGTCGACCCCCTGACGCTGACTGAAGCCTCGAGCCACGTAACGCGCCTTGAAGACAGGCGGAGAACCCGGCGGCCGCTTCACCCTGAAAATCCACATGCCATCGACGATGTTCGCCCCAGGAGGGGGAACCTCGTCGACGTAGGTGCCTGTGGATTTCCAGGATGCCATCTCTGCGTCCATGGCTGTCTGCCACTGAGAGGAGTAGGGACCCGAGATCGCCTCTGCGTAAGTGCGCGGAGTGGGGATGTCTAGTGCATCCGGGTCTCCCTCAGGGGCAAGCAACCAGGCCACGAGATGAGGTACAGCAGCCGCAAGAGAGTCAAAGTCCTCCTGCCTGTCCTCAAGGACGTCCGTGCCAAGAGCACACTCACCCCCGACGGACGGAGGACAGACAGACGCAGACTCTGACTCAGCGACAAGGCTAGCAGCGTAGTCTAGACGAAAGGCAGCAGCAAAGTCAACCAGCTCAGCGACCAGAGCAGACGCAGCCGAGGACTCAAAGGTGGGGTCAGTGACAACAGTAGCAAGGAGACGCGTGACTGTAGGGTGCTCAGCGCGATACCGGTCAGACTCAGGGTCCGGAACGGCAGGCAAAGAGGACGCAGGAGGAGACGGTAGAGGGACACGCCGAGGAGCAGTAGAGGGACGCAGAGTCATGTAGTGAGTGCCTGGGACAGGAGGAGGACGCTCACGACGGACACGACTACCAGTGCGAGCAGGACGGACAGGCGACGCAGGACGAGACTCAGGCTCACGACGCTCTGTAAGACCTCCTGTGGGACCAGTATAAGGAGAGGGAGCAGGGAGAGGCGAGGCAGGCGGTAACTGTGACTGCGGCTGGACAGGCGGAGGACACTCGACGGAGGGAGGAGGACAAGGAGGAGGAGCCTGCCCAAGAACCTGCTGAAGGAGCGGTACGAAGTACGGTCGCGGCCGCGCAGCGTCTCCAGAAGCAGAAGGGACTCCAGCGGCCGGGTCCACAGCACCAGCAGCAGCTCCACCGGCCGGGTCCCCAGCTCCAGCAGCAGCTCCACCGTCCGACTCCTCAGCACCAGCAGCAGCTCCACCAGGTGGGTCCGCAGCACCAGCAGCCGCGCCACCCCCAGAGTCGGCAGCTCCAACTCCGCTAGCACCGCCAGCGCCAGAGTCCCCAGCTCCAGCAGCTCCAGTACCCCCAGTACGAGCACCCCCAGGACGAGCAGCTCCAGCACCCCAAACTCCAGTCGAGCCACTAGGACGGCGAAAGCGTCGGACGTACCAGTCGCGAAGCTGCTGCGGTGTGAGAGACTGCTCAGCACCCCGAACCGGAGCACCCCCAGACGCAGTAACCCGAGGCTCCGTAGGCTCAGTAGCAGCACCCCCAGGCTCAGTACCCGCAGGCTCAGTACCCGCAGGCTCAGCACCCCCAGTCGCAGCACCCCCAGGCTCAGCACCCCCAGGCGGCAAACTCTCAGGCACAGTACCCTCAGCTCCAGCACCCGTAGTCCCAGCACTCCCAGGCCCCGCACCCGTAGGCTCAGCACCCCCAGGCGCAGCACCCCCAGGCTCCGTACTCTCAGGCACCGTACCCTCAGCTCCAGCACCCTCAGTCCCAGCACCTGCAGCCCCAGCACCCCCAGGCCCAGCACCCCCAGGCTCAGTACTCCCAGCAGCACCACCCGCAGCAGCACCTGAGTCACCTGTGACCTCGACAGGCTCAGCGACGGGAGGAGGGTCTACCTGAGAGACACCTGAAGGAGCAGGACCCTGAGGGGGAAGGGGGTCTACCGGAGGGGGACCAGGAGCAAGGAAAAGCGGCGGGGGGGGGAGCGAGGCAGTGCGGTAGGGGAAGAGACGGTAAAAAGGGACCGACTCGTCAAAGGTGACATCCTGAGAGGCGAAGACCCGGCGCGAGGTGGGGTGGTAAAACTGCCAGCCAGGTGCGTCAGGGACAAAGCCAAGGAAGACACAGGGAAGCGTGCGGGAGGAGAGCTTGTCCGCGGACGTATCGCGGACAAGGGCACGAGCACCCCACACCCGGAAGCGCGACGCATCGCCAACCTCCCCCGTCCAACGCAGTGTGGGCGAGGTCTCCGGCAAGGAGACACGGGGCCAGAGGTTGAGCTGATGCGCGGCGTACCGGACAGCAAACGGCCACAGAAAATGGGGAGCCGCCGCGTGGACCAAGGAGGTACGAGCGATCTCCATGACCAGGCCAATGCGGCGCTCAGCAACCCCATTCTGCTGTGGGGAGTCCGGAAGCGTGAAGGTCTGCTCGATGCCCTCTGCCTGACAGAAGGTCCTCAGGAGATCGGAGGAAAACTCACCACCTCTGTCAGAGTGCAGACGCAGGACAGGAAGATCCGTCCGGAAACGGCGGCGGAGCTGGAGACGAACCGTGCGGATCCAAGGGATCAGAACAGCAGGGACCTCACCCTTGGTGCGCAAGGGGAAGACCGTGGTGTAACGCGAGTAGTCGTCGACAACCAGCAGAAAGTACCGCTCACCGCCCTGACCACGAACGCGGGCTGGGCCCCACACGTCCAGGTGGAGGGTCTCCAGAGGAGCCTCTGTCGGGGGGAACGAGGAGGAGTGAGGAGCGGCTCGCTGCCGCCCCTCGACGCAAGGAAGGCAAGGCGGCGCAGGAGAGGCAGGGAGGGGAGGGAGGGACCTGGGAAGACCAGACACAAGGAGGCGACGGTGCATGCCACGAAGGCGTGGCAAGGAGGGGTGACCCAGGCGGTGGTGCCAGAGAAGAGTCTGGTGCGACAGGGAACGACACTCACAGGCGTGGGCCACCAGACCTGACGCAGAC